GTGGCGCAGACTGCGGGCTTGGATTCATGTTAGGAACGCTACCAGACGTTGCGGGAGGAGTGCTCGACGGCTGCCGGGGTGCTGGGCTGGGGGGAGTGCTCATCTGTTCCTTTACCTTTTGCTCCTTCGCGACAGGTGCCTCAGTCGTCGCGGGTCGCGGTCGTTCAGGCCGCGGTTTGATGTAATTGGCCCCGGTCAACGGGATGGTGATGGCCGGTTTCTTTTTTGTGTTGGGTGATGCTTCTGCGTTATCGCTCGCGCTCCAAAGGCTGAGATCAACCGCATGACCCAGGGCGGCCAACTGGGCCAGGGCCCCTGCCAAATCGAATTGGCCGGCTCGTCGCCCGCGGGAGTGATCGACCGCAATGGTGTGATGATCGCGATCTTGCAGAATCGAACGCACCAGGCCAGTTAGAATCTTCCCCGGTCCCACTTCCAGGAATGTCGTCACCCCGTCAGCGTGCATCTGTTCGATCTGCCGCACAAATTCTACCGGGCGGGCAAGCTGCCCCGCGAGTAGCTGCCTCGCAGAACCCGCATCGCTGGGGTAAACCTTTCCCGTGGTGTTGGCGTACACGGGAAACTGCCCCTGCTGCCAAGAGACGCTTTCCAGCTTTTGGGCCAGTTTCGACTCGGCGTCGGCCACCAGCTCGCTATGGAAGGCTCCGGATACCAGCAGTCGGCGACAACCAAAATCTCGCGCGGTCAGTTGTTCTTCGGCCGATGCAATCGCCTCCGTCGCTCCGGAGAGCACTACCTGCGTGGGCATGTTGTGGTTGGCGATAACCAGCGGAAGATCTGATTCGGCAAGATAAGCTTCAATCTGCTCCCGCTCGGCCGCCACCGCCAGCATCGTGCCACGGTCGCCCGTGCCGGCCGCCATCAACTCACCACGAGCGACCGCCAACTCGAGCAATATTGTGTGATCGATCACTCCCGAAGCGAATAACGCAACCAGTTCGCCGAAGCTGTGCCCCGCGGCCGCGTCGACTTGAAGTCCAAACTGCTGCAACACCTGCCACATCCCAGAGCTTGCCGCTCCGATGGCAGGTTGTGCCGCACGAGTATCGCGGAGGGCCTCGACTTGGGCTTCCCGCGAATCGTCGTCGAACACAGGGATCGGAAAGATAACGTCGCTTAACCGCGATTGATGGGCACTGCCGAACGCCCGATCGGCAGCCGCAAACGAATCGAGGACCGCAGGAAACGCACAGGCAAAGTCGCCAAACATCTCCGGTCGCTGAGCCCCCTGCCCTGGGAACAACACAGCCAGTTTACCTGGTGCAACACCCCGCCCGAAGTAAGCTCCCTCGGGCGTGCTCCAAGAAGACTCGTTGCCCTGCGAGGCGAGCATCTGTTTCGCCCCGGCGACCAACCTGGCCAGGTCCGTTTCACCGCGAAATGCAACCAGCACTAACCGGCATCCTGCCGTTACGTCAATCTCGTTGCGCCGCTCTTCTGCCGCTTTCTGCAAAGAAGCCCACGGTTGATCGACTTCCAACTCATCTAGAAGTGAGCTCAGTTGCGCGGGCGATTCTGCACTCAAAGGGTAGAGGAAGACGCGAGAGTCCCATTCAACGGCCGGTTTGCTTGGGCTGCTCTCCTCCAGCACACAATGGAAGTTGCTGCCGCCAAACCCAAACGCGCTAATCGCTGCCCGGCGCGGATGGTCTTCACTGGGCAGCCACGGTCGGGTCTGCGTATTCAAATACACCGGTGCTGAGTTCGGCGAAAGCACCTCAAGCGGCTGTTCCACTTTGATCGTCGGCGGCAACACCTTGTGATGCAGGGCCAGCGCCGCTTTGATCATCCCTGCCACGCCGGCGGCCGCTTTCGTGTGCCCGATCATCGACTTGACCGACCCGATCGCGCACCAGGTACCCTTCTCGTTGGCCTCGCGATAGACATTCGTCAGGGCTTTGATCTCGGTGGCGTCGCCCACCTTGGTGCCGGTGCCGTGGGCTTCGATCAGCCCAATGCTCGCGGGTGAAACGTCCGCCTGCTCGTAGGCGGCCCGCAGTGCAATCGCCTGCCCTTCCGCACTCGGGGCATACACGGCATTGCCCCGTCCGTCGCTCGAGGTGCCCATACCTTTCAGCACGGCATAAATGCGGTCTCCATCCCGCTCGGCGTCTTCCAGCCGCTTCAAGACCAGCACGCCGAGGCCTTCACCGAGAATTGTGCCATCGCAATCGGCACTGAACGGGCGGCTGTTGCCCGTGGGCGAGAGTGCCGGCGTCTTGCTGAAGCACATGTACATGAAGATGCTGTTGAAGGTATCCAACCCGCCGGCCACCACGGTGTCTGCCCGACCGGTTTGCAGTTCCATGGCTGCCAGGTGAATCGCACTTAGCGAGCTGGCGCAGGCCGCATCCACCACGCAGTTCGTTCCACGCAAGTCAAATCGGTTTGCAATTCTTCCCGCCGCCACATTGCCCAGCAGGCCCGGGAAAGAATTCTCCTGCCACGGGACATACCCGTCGGCAATCTGCTGAATGACTTCCTCGGCCTTCTCAGGCTCTACTCCCGCGTCAGCCAACGCCTTACGCCAGATGGGATGTCCCAACCGTGCTCCCAGCGGAATTACCAACTCAAGCGCGCCGGTAACACCGAGGATCACACTCGTACGAGACCGATCCAAAGGACGCCCTTCATCCTCCGGCGTCGGTTGATAACCCGCATCGCGCAGCGCATGATCGGCCGCGACCATTCCCAGCAACTGCGTGGTGTCGGTGGCCTCGATATTGTTGGGATTGATGCCGTAACGTAGCGGGTCGAAATCAATCTCGTCGAGAAACCCGCCCCGCTGAGCATAGGTCATGTCTGGCCGCGAGGGATCCGCATCGAAGTAATCCTCAGGCCGCCAGTGCGACGGTGGGATATCGGAGATGGCATCGACCCCGGCCTTGATGTTGGCCCAATAGGCATCCAGCGAGTTGGCCTTGGGAAACAGGCATCCCATGCCAACGATCGCCACGGGCCCGGCGGTCGTGGTGCGCGGAGACTCTTCGAGAGACTTGGGGTTCAAAGCAGAAATTCCTCAAGACGTCCTACTTCTTGGGGCACGATGCTCGTCAACTCCGAGGGAAGGCGTACGCCCTGGTTGCGCAGGATGCCAACCCGGGTCACCACGGCAGCTCCGTAAAGCACATTCAACGCCACGGTGGCGATCTTTCGATTGGCGGGTTCCTCGAGGAACGATCCCTTCACCCACTCGTTGAACGCACCCATCGCGGGTCCGCACCAAATCTGGTAGTCGATCTGTCGCGTTGGATCGCCACTGTTGGCCCATCGCGACGACAGCCCCAGGTACCAACGGAACACCAGCGCCATCTGATGCTTGGCATCGCGCCGCGCCCGTTCGACTTGCGTAGGGTCGCGATCGTTCCAGAACTGCTCCGCCCGTTGCCATACCTCGGCCAAAGGCATCTTGAACACGGTCTTTTCCAACTGCTGCTGCTCGTTGGCCGGGATTTCGCCCAGCGAGTTGTATTCGCGGTAATACTCGTACAGCTTCGATGCCCGCATTGCGAACATGGTGCCGCGTTTGAGCACCTGCAGCTTCACACCCATTTCAAACATGTCGGCGGCCGGGGCCATAATCACGTCGGCTTGTTGCGACTCGCTGAGCATCTTCCGCACGGTGTCGCTACTGCCCGATTCGACGCAGGCCTGATTGATCGAGCCCGTCACCACATAAGCCGCGCCCATGGCGAACGCCGCGGAAGCCGAAGCCGGGGTGGCGATGCCTCCGGCGGCCCCCACACGGAGCGGCATCTGATAGCCGTACTCGCGTTGCAGGCGATCGCGAAGGGCCAACATGGTGGGCAACAACGTAATCGCAGGGCGATTATCGGTGTGACCTCCCGAGTCGGCTTCGGCCGTCAAGTCTTGGGCCACTGGGATCTGTGCAGCGAGTTGAGCTTGCTCCTGAGTGATATCCCCGGCCTCGACCATCTTCGACAACATCGCTTCCGGCGGAGGGCTGAACCATTTGCTAGCCACCTCCACACGCGAAGCCTTGGCGATGACTTTATTGGGCGTCTGAATCAGCCCATTCGCATCGCGATGAATTCCAATCACGCGATACCGCACCACGGGGTACGTCAGGTCGAGGTAGGCCGAAGCTTCGACCAACCGCACGCCCCGCCGATTGAATAACTCGGCCGTGGCCGCTTCCTGGGCCGGTTCGCTGGGGCTGTGAATCAGGTTGAATGCGAAAGGCAAATCGCCCACGGCACCCGTAATGCGGTCGATCGCCTGTTCGATATGAGGCGTCGGCAATCCTGCGGCACCAAAAGAGCCGAGTACCCCGGCTTTGGCTGCCGCTTCCACCACATCGGTCGAGGCAATCCCGTTGGCCATCGCCCCGGTCATGTAGGGAAACTTGATGCGATGGTCGGCGCAGAACGAGGGGTCGCCCAACTGCGAAGCCCGCACCACCGGCGAGTAGCCCACCAGCGGATAACCACCGCTGCCGTTAACCGAGACGTCATCGCCTACGGCGATTCGCCCGGAGTGGCTCACGCCAAACGACCCGCCAAGGTCGACCATATATAAAGGACGGTTCACCTGGTGCAGTGCCTGGCGGATGGCATCGTCACCCGTGGCCGGTTGTTCCCCGGTCTCGACCCACGATCCCAGGGGCGAAGTACTCCCGCCCGGCGCGTTGACACTGCTTTGTTGCATCTGCGATGAAGCGTTCACTCAGAAACTCTCTGGGGGGCTCGCCCAAGCGAGATCTCGGGCGCCAATGGGTGACCGGAGGGGAGCATTGCGTAGAATGCCCATCTTCCTTAACAAAAACGCCGCGTCAACTGGCTTACGTCGCGTCGACGACCATCCATTGAAAGCCAAATCACCCCGCGTTGGAAGCGGTCGATCGGCGATTCAACCAAGAATTTGGCCAATTCGCCTCAGAAATGTCAGATGCCGTTACAATCACCCACATTTCTGAGCGGGTTCGAGGTTCAACTTTAACAATCGAGGAACGCTGATTCATGGATAAGAAGGTACGCTGGGGAATTTTGAGTACGGCCATCATCGCTCGCGAAGCGGTCATTCCGGCGATGCAAAAGCCGCCTTACGCCAAGCATGCCGTGGTCGAGGCTATCGCATCCCGCAGCCTCGATAAGGCTCAGGCCACGGCCCAGCAGTTCGGCATCCCCCGTGCGTATGGTTCGTATGAAGAGCTGCTGGCCGATCCAGAAATCGATGCGGTTTACATTCCCCTGCCCAACCACATGCACGTGCCCTACTCCATCAAGGCCCTCGAGGCCGGCAAACACGTGCTCTGCGAGAAGCCCATCTCGCTGACCGTCGCCGAGGGTGAAGAGCTAGTCGCCGCCGGGAAACGCTTTTCGCACTTGAAGCTCATGGAAGCCTTCATGTACCGCCACCACCCGCAATGGCAATGGGCCAAAGCCGCCATCGACGAAGGCAAGATCGGCGAACTGCGCACGATCCAGACCTTCTTCTCCTATTACGACGACAACCCGGCCAGCATTCATAATCACCCCGAATGGGGCGGTGGGGGGCTCATGGATATCGGCTGCTACCCCATCTCCCTCTCGCGCTTCCTGTTCGACGACGAGCCACAACGCGTGGTCGGCATTCTGGAATGCTCCCCGCAGTTCAACGTCGACCATCTCACCTCAGGCATGATGGAGTTCGCCGCCGGCACCGCCACATTCACCTGCTCCATTTTGCTAACCGAGTACCAGCGGATGATCGCCTTCGGCACCAAGGGCCGCGTTGAAATCGAAATCCCCTTCAATGCCCCGGCCGATCGACCTTGTCGTGGCTGGCTCGAAACCGAGGGCAACCTCGAACAGATCGAGTTCCCCATCTGCGATCAATACGGCATCCAAGCCGATCTCTTCTCGCAGGCCATCCTTAACAACACCCCGGTGCCGACCCCCATCGAAGACGCCGTGGCCAACATGCGAACGCTCGAAGCCATCGTTCGCAGCGGCAAGAACAAAAGCTGGGAAACGCTGGCCGCGGGAGCGTGACCTCGTGAGTGCTGGCGAACCGCTCCTGCAACTGATCGACGTCACACGCAGCTTCCCCGGCGTTACTGCGCTCGATCAGGTGAACTTCGAACTCAATCGTGGCGAAGTGCACGCCCTGGTCGGCGAGAACGGTGCGGGCAAGAGCACGCTGATCAACATCCTCTCCGGCGTGCTCCGTCCCGACCACGGGCGCGTCGTGCTTAAAGGTCAGGACGTTGAACTCCTCGACCCTGTGACAGCCCGCGCTCAAGGCATCATCACGGTTCATCAAGAGGCGGATCTCTTCGCCTCGCTTTCAGTGGCCGAGAACATGGCCCTCACGCAAGGTTTGCCGGCCCGCCCTGGCGGTTTCGTTCGCTGGTCGCAAGTCTACGCCGAAGCCCAAGCGGCCGTGGCCAGCCTTGGCGAGACAATCGACATCCGCCGTCCCGCGGCTCACCTCAGCGTGGCCCATCGACAAATGACCCAAATCGCCGCCGCCGTGCAGCAGCGCGCGAGGGTCGTCGTGCTCGATGAACCCACCAGTGCCCTCACCTCGGTGGAAACCGAGTGGTTGTTTGAGCAAATCGCCCAGCTCAAAGCCGCCGGCGTCGGCATCATCTACATCTCCCACCGGCAGGAAGAGATCTTCCAACTCTCCGACCGCATCACTGTCCTTCGCGACGGGCAACGGGTATTCAGCGGGCCCACCGCCTCCATCGATCGCGATGGCCTGATCGAAGCGATGGTTGGCCGTAAGCCGTCGGCGACCGCCACAACCCGCGAAAAAAGATTGCCTTCAAAGCCAGATACAACACCTCGGTTGAAGCTATCGCAACTCACCGACGAAGGAGGTCGCTTCACCGACATCGACCTCAGCGTTCAGCCCGGCGAGATCGTGGGTCTTTACGGCCTGGTGGGGGCGGGCCGCAGCGAACTGGCCAAAGTCGTGTTCGGTCTTGAGCCCGCTTCAACCGGCACCATAGAAGTCGATGGCCAACACATTCCCATTCGCACGGTGAACGATTCAGTTGCGCAATCAATCGCCTATGTCCCCGAAGATCGCCTGCGAGAAGGCGTTTGCCGCGGACTCAGCGTTCGCGAGAACATGGTCCTCAGCAGCTTGCAACAGTGGACTACTGGGCCACTCGCGTCGCAAGCGCAGGAAAAGGGCGCCGCGGAAAGCCAGGTCACCGCACTGGGCATCAAACTCCGTAGCGTCGAGCAGCCCATCGCCCAACTCTCCGGAGGTAATCAACAGAAGGTGGTTCTGGCACGTTGGTTGTTGACCGAACCCCGCGTGTTAATTCTCGACGAGCCCACTCGTGGCGTCGACGTGGGGGCGAAGGCCGAAATCCATCAACTCGTCCGCCGGCTGGCCGACGCCGGCTGCGGCGTGCTGATGATCAGTTCCGATCTTCCGGAAGTACTTGAACACAGCGACCGCATTGTCGTCCTCCGCAATGGCCGCGTGTCCGCTCAGTTCAATCCTCGTCAAACAACTGCCAACGAAATCGCCGCCGCGGCCCTTCCTGAAGAAGCCCCCGATCGCGATCAGGCTTCCTCCAGGCGGGGCATTACCTCACGCTGGCGGCGACTGCTGGGCAGCGAAGTCGGTCTCGTTGCGGCGATCGCCGCGTTGTCGCTCTGTTTGACCCTCTCGACCGATCAGTTTCTCACCGCCAGCAACTTCGTCGGCATCCTGACCAGCGCCGCCGTGTGGATTGTGCTGGCCATGGCTGTTGCGGTGGTGATCATCGCGGGGGGAATCGACATTTCGATTGGTGCCCTGCTGGCCCTTTCGGCGGCCGCGGCCGGAGTTGTCTTGCAGCAAGAGATCGACCCCCGCCTGGCGATTCCCCTGGCCGCCTTGGCTGCCATGGCCGTGGGCACCATCGGCGGGTCGATCAACGCCGGCGTTGCACTCCTGGGGCGAATCCACCCCATCGTTGTCACACTCGGCACCATGACCATCTACCGCGGGCTACTGATCACCCTCACCGGTGGTCGCGCGATCGGCGACCTACCACCTCAGTTCGTTCGGCTGTTCTCCATGTCGATCTTTGGTGTCCCGCTGGGGGCCGTGATGGCGATATTGGTAGCCGTCGCCATGCACGTCTTTCTAACTTGGACCCGCAGTGGAAGGCAACTCTACGCCTACGGCGCGAGCCCCAGTGCCGCCAAGCTCATCGGCATCTCCCAACGTGCCGCCTGGATGACCGCCTTTGGTGTCGGCGGGTTGCTCACCGGAATCGCGGGCCTCTTCGAGCTGGCCAAGATCGGCTCCATGCAATCCACCCTCGGCACTGGTTATGAACTCAGGGCCATCGCCGCCGCCGTCATCGGAGGCACCGCCATCACCGGCGGGCGCGGCAGCGTGTTTGGCGTGGTGCTGGGAGCCCTGCTGCTCAGCTTGCTTTACAACGCGCTGGTGCTGTGGAATGTCTCCGGCTTTCACTACCAACTTGTAGTCGGCGTGTTGATTCTCGTGGCAGTCCTCTTAGACCTCTGGTGGCGGAGGTCTGAAGCATGAACTTCGCCCGTCATCGCACGTTCGTCGCCATGCTTCTTCCGTGGGCGCTGCTCATCGGTTCCATCATGCTCGTCGTGGTTCAAGCCGAACGCCCCGCCGCCTTACCGCAACTGTGGCGACCCTGGGCCGAGATCGGAGCCCTGGCCGCCGTAATGACGGCCGTGATCGTCACTGGCGGAATCGATCTCTCCGTCGGCAGCATCGTCGCCCTGTGTGGCGTGGTTACCGGAATCCTCTGGCAAGACTACGAGTGGCCGATTGCCCTCGCTTCCACCGCCGGAGTCGCAACCGGCCTTCTCGCCGGCGCCGTTAACGGAACGCTCGTCGTACTCGGCATCGCCCCCTTGGTCGGCACGCTGGCCACCATGGCCTTCTTCGCCGGGCTGGCGATGGCCATTGCCGAAGGCCGCCGCATTCCCGGCCTGCCAGAATCGTTCAACCACTTGGGCCAGGGCTCACTGCTCGGCATCCCACTGCAGTTCTGGTTGATGACCGCCGTGTTCGCCGCAGCTTACGTCGTCGTCCATCACACCCGGCACGGTCGCTACCTCTTTGCTATCGGCGATAACCGCCTCGCCGCCCAGTTCGCCGCCGTGCGGGTGCGACGCGTCGAGTGGTGGGTTTACGCCCTCACCGGTTTAGTGGCGGGTGTGGTCTCGCTCGCCTATACTGCCCGCGGTGGGGCGGCAATTCCCAACGCCGGCACCGGCCTCGAACTGCAAGTGATCGCCTGCGTCGTCATCGGTGGTACCAGCGTCACCGGTGGCTACGGTGGAGTGGGGAGAACGCTCCTTGGGGTAACAGCCTTGGCCAATCTCGACCTGGGCTTACAACTGTTCGCTTCCAATGCGTTTAATGTTCCATGGAGCGATGAACCCTGGCGGCTCAGCGCCGACGGCCGGCTCATCGCTATCGGACTATTAGTCATCGCCCTGGCTGTTTGGAACGAGCGCGTCGGTAAACAACGGCAAGTGAGATAATCGCAGGAGCAACTTCGCACGATGAAAGCAGCATGGACAGCGGTGGTTCTGGTCGTTGTGGCTCTCAGTACCGGGTGTTCGGCAGAGCAATCGGGCCCGAAAGCCCTCAAGATGGGCATGATGCCCAAACTGGTCGGCATCCCTTACTTCGAGGCCTGCAAAGAAGGGGCCGAAGAAGCCGCCGCCGAGTTGGGTATCGAACTCGACTACGATGGCCCGGCGACCGACAGCGTTGAGGAACAAGCAAAAATCGTCGACCGCTGGATTGTGCAGGGCTACGACATCATCGCGGTGGCCCCCAACGACCCCGAAGTGATCGCTCCCGCTCTTCGCCGCGCGGCCGACGCAGGCATCGTTGTCATCACGTGGGACGCCGACGCCAACCCCACCGAATCGGGTCGCCAGAAGTTTGTGAATCAAGCCACCTTCGAAGGTATCGGTAATGCCCTGGTCGACGTGTTGGCCGAATCCATGGACGTAAAAGGTAAAGCCGTCATCATCAGCGGTTCGGTCACCTCACCCAACCAGCAAGCGTGGATGGAAGTTATGCACGCCCGACTGAAAGATCGCTATCCCGATATCGAAGTGCCCGCCACCCTCTACAGCGACGAAGATCAGGCCAAGGCCCAACAGTTGGCCCGCGATGCCATGAGCAACCACCCCGATCTCACTGGCATTTGGGGCATCACTTCGGTCGCCCTGCCCGGGGCCGCCAAAGCCGTTCGCGACGCCGGACGCTCGGGCGAAGTCCTCGTCACCGGCCTCAGTCTGCCAAGCACCACCCGCGAATACGTGAAGGATGGCACCGTCCCCAAGTTTGTGCTCTGGAACCCGGTCGACCTCGGTTACCTAACCGTCTACGTCGGCAAGCAACTCGCCGAAGCCAAGCTAGAAAACGGCACCCACACCCTGGGCCGTCTCGAGTCGATCGAAGTAAGCGACGACGAAGTCCTCCTCGGCGAACCGCTTGTGTTCGACTCGGAGAACATCGACGCGTACAATTTCTAATAGCATGAGTACGATCAATCGCGAAGCCGCGTATCAACTCGTCTGCGAGTACACCGCCAGCGACAGTCTTCGCAAACACATGCTGGCCGTTGAAGCCGGCATGAGGGCGTATGCCGAGAAGTTTGGCGAAGATGTCGAGAAGTGGGGCATCGTCGGCCTACTGCACGACTTCGACTACGAACGCTGGCCCAACGCCCCCGATCATCCGCTGCAAGGGGCCGAGATTCTTGCAGCCCGCGGCTATCCCGAGGACGTCATCTACGCCATCAAGTCGCACGCCGACTATCTACCAGATTGCCCTCGTGTCTCTCCTATGGACAAGACGCTCTACGCCTGCGACGAACTCGCCGGCTTTATCACCGCGGTGGCCGTTATCCGCCCCACAGGCATCGAAGGCCTCAAACCCAAGAGCGTGAAGAAGAAGCTCAAACAAAAGAGCTTCGCCGCGGCCGTTAACCGCGACGACATCACCCGCGGGGCCGAAGATCTGGAAGTCGACCTCGACGAGCACATCCAATTCCTCATCGACGCCATGACCGCCATCGCCCCACAACTAGGGCTGGCCAACTCGGCAGAAGAATGATCTGCCCCGAGATCCTTACTCGGCATCCTCGTATTCACCCAGCACTTCCAGCCGGTAGCCGGTGACGTGGAAGCCGGTGGCGGCGAGTTTTTTTACCAGCGTGGCGTCGAGCTTCTCGAGCAAATGAGGGTCGAACTCGGCTGGGAGATCGCGAACTTCGCCGGTTCGGGTGTCGCGGAGATGGTAGTGATCTTCCCCGCGGCAATCATATCGTGCCGAAGCGTCACCGTAGTTCAGCTTTGTGGCGAGCTTCGAAGCCACCAGTGCTTCCAGGGCTTTGTACACGGTGGCCAGGCTGATGTTCGGCATCGTTTGCCGTACGGCCTGATAGATGTCTTCGGCCGTGGGATGATCGGTAACTTGTTCCAAGTAGGCCAGCACCTCGGCACGTTGTTGCGTGTATCGGCAACCGGCCCGCCGTAGCGCATCGCGGACGCTTTGGTCTCGCGTGGTGTCGCTATTGGCCTTGGTTCCCATCGCAGAAATTCCCGGTCGGCGCATACTTAATCAGCGTAGTGAACTATAGAAATGGCCCCACAGAGGGTCAAGTTGCCGGCGAATCGTCGCCGCGAGTGAAGCTCGTCGCAAACGCAATCTGAGCTTAACTTTGAAGGCCCACCCCCGGCGCTCGCTTGACCGTCTTATTGCGGCACTTCTATAATCCCGGCTCTTCGCAACGGCCCGACGGGTCGTCTTCGCCTGCAAGCGACTTTTTCCACAGAGTCTGGACATGAAGATACACGAGTACCAAGGCAAACAGCTTCTCCGCGACGCCGGCATTCCCACGCCACGCGGTATTGTGGCCCGCACGGCCGAAGAGGCCTCCGCGGCGTTCAAAGAACTCGGCGGCAAGCTAGCCGTGGTGAAGGCCCAAATCCACGCCGGCGGGCGAGGCAAGGGCACCATCAAAACCAATTCCGAGCAACGCGGTGTGCAATTGGTGAAAAGCGCCGAAGAAGCCGCCACGGTTGCCGGCAACATCTTGGGCAACGAGCTGGTCACCATTCAAACCGGCCCCGAAGGTCGTGAAGTGAACCAGGTGCTGGTCGAAGAAGGCTGCGACATCGCCCGCGAGTTGTACCTGGGCATCGTCGTCGATCGTGGTAGCGGTGGCCCGGTTCTGATGGTTTCCAGCGAGGGCGGCGTCGAAATCGAAAAGGTCGCCGAGGAAACCCCCGAGCTGATCTACAAAGAGCCCTTCCATCCCGACAGCGGCCTGCAAAGCTATCAGGTTCGCAAGTTGGCAGCCAAGCTCAAGCTCGAAGGCAAAACCATCCGCGCGGCCGACAAGTTCATGCGAACGCTGTGCAACTTGTTCGTCAAGCACGATTGCAGCTTGGTTGAGCTGAATCCGCTGGTCGTCACCGGCGATGGCGACCTGCTGGCACTTGATGCCAAAATGACGTTCGACGACAACGCCTCGTTCCGACACAAAGATCTCGAAGAGCTGCGAGACCTGAACGAAGAAGAGCCGATGGAAGTTCGCGCCGGTAAGGCAGGCCTCAGCTATGTGAAGCTCGATGGCAACATCGCCTGCCTAGTCAATGGTGCTGGGCTCGCGATGAGCACGATGGACCTCATCAAATTGCACGGCGGAGAGCCGGCCAACTTTCTCGATGTCGGCGGAGGGGCCAACGAAGATCAGGTCACCGAGGCCTTCCGCATCTTGCTGGCCGACGAGAATGTAAAGGGCGTGCTCGTCAACATCTTCGGCGGCATCATGCGGTGCACGACCATTGCCGACGCTTTGGTCGCAGCCTACCGCTCCGTCGGGTTCAATGTGCCGCTGGTCGTACGTCTCGAAGGCACCGAGGTCGAACAAGGCCGGAAGATCCTCGCCGACAGCGGTGTCGATATCATCACGGCCGAAGGCCTCACCGATGCCGCCAAAAAAGTGGTGGCCGCCGTCGGGTAACAAGACACTCCACACAACAAATCATTCACAAACGTTGCCGCTTTTCACGCCGCAAACGGAATAAGACACGAACATGAGCATTCTGATCGACAAAGACACCCGCGTGCTGTGCCAGGGCATCACGGGCAAGACCGGCCACTTCCATACCAAGAACTGCCTGGAATACGGCACCAAAGTCGTTGCCGGTGTCACGCCCGGTAAGGCCGGCGAAAAGGTCGAAGGCGTTCCGGTGTTCGATACCGTGTTTGAAGCGGTGGAAGCAACCGGCGCCAACGCCACCATGATCTACGTCCCACCCCCGTTCACCGCTGACGCAATCCTAGAAGCGGTCGACGCCGGGATTAAGGTCGTCATCGCCATCACCGAAGGTGTGCCCGTGCTCGACATGGTTCGTGTGTACGACATCGTCCGCGATTCCGATTCGGTGCTGATTGGCCCCAACTGCCCCGGAGTGATCACCCCCGAGGAATGCAAGATGGGCATCATGCCCGGCTACATTCACAAGAAGGGTCCCGTCGGTGTGATGAGCCGCTCTGGCACTCTCACCTACGAAGCCGTGTGGCAGCTCTCCGAACTAGGCCTCGGGCAGAGCACCTGCGTGGGGCTCGGCGGCGATCCAATCGTCGGCACCTCGTTCATCGACCTGCTCAAGCGTTTCGAGGCAGACCCCGCCACCGAAGCCATCATGATGATGGGTGAAATTGGCGGAACCGCCGAAGAAGAAGCCGCCGCGTTCGTGAAAGAGCATGTCACCAAGCCGGTGGCCGCATTCATCGCCGGCCGCACGGCCCCTCCAGGCAAACGCATGGGTCACGCCGGCGCGATCATCTCCGGAGGCAAAGGCACCGCCGAAGAGAAAATCGCCGCACTCGAAGGCGCCGGAATCGTCGTGGCCGAAAGCCCCGCCGACATGGGCACCGCGCTGGTGCGAGCGATGAAGGCCAAGTAGCGGGTGTTGCAGAACGCTCGTGAGTGCCTCTCCTGGTTCACCAAGCTGTGAAGATCCTATGGGTCGCGTTTAACCGACGCCGTTTCCACTCAGTCACGTGCCCCTGCCGGTGTGCTACACTCCTGGTTGCGACTACGCTGCGTGACATAGCTGCGTAGTCCGGCTAATTTGCACGTGGGCACTCGACTCGGTTCGCTTCTTCTATGCCTCGACCCTGGTGGATTCTTGTACTGCTTGTCGGGGTGCCGCTGATCGTCTTCGGGCAGTCGATCACCTTCGAACTCGTCAAGTGGGACGATCCCCTCAACATCACGCAGAACCCCTACTTCAATCCGCTCACCTTGGGCAGTGTGGCCCGAATGTGGACGGTCAGCTATTTCGGCTTCTATGCCCCACTCACCTACACTTTGTGGGGAACACTGACCGCGATCAATATCTCGCTCGGGCATTCTCAGTTCGATCCCCACATCTACCACCTGGCAAACTTGCTGCTGCATATCGCATGTACGTATCTCGTCTTTCGACTTCTGCAAGTTCTAATCGATGATAGCCTGGCGGCCTGCTGTGGTGCGTTGCTCTTTGCCGTCCACCCGATGCAAGTCGAGACTGTAAGTTGGGCCACTGAAGCACGAGGATTGCTTAGTACTCTACTATCTCTGTGTGCCATTATCATTTACGTCCAAGATAGGCAGCGTCAGGCCGACGACCCCTCCCTGGAAGCGGACCGGCCACAGCGTTTCTCCCGCGCCACTGTACTTTACATCCTGGCTCTGTTGGCCAAACCCTCGGCCGTAAGTGTCCCACTCATCGTCTGGTTGCTTGATTACTTCGTTTATGGGAAGTCATTTCGCCAGGCGACGAAGGCGGTCGCAGACTGGGTTTTCATCGCAGTCGTTTGGGTTGTCATCACAAAGGTCGCCCAGCCCGGCGATCTGATGAAAGAAAGCTGGCCGCTCTGGACGCGCCCGCTGGTTGCTCTCGACGCCCTGGCTTTCTACCTAAAGCAACTTGTCTTCCCCTACGAGTTCGCCATCGACCACGGTCGTTCGCCGACAGAGATCATCCGCACCGGAGCAATCTACTGGACCTGGATACCCATCCTCCTCCTCGCGATATTTCTCCTATTTAAGCCCAAGTGGCAATTGCCCCGTGCCGCAGCCGCCATCTCGGTGGTGGTTCTCTTGCCCGTTTTAGGACTAACCCCATTCCATTTTCAGTCCATCTCCACCGTTTCCGATCGCTACGCCTACCTCGCCATGTTGGGGCCCGCAATTTTCTTTGCGTGGCTGCTCAGTCGCGCTCCGCGTAAATTCGCCTGGGGAGCCGCTGTCGTCATTGCTCTACTCGCGGCAAGAAGTTGGTCGCAGGCCGGCGTCTGGCAGAACTCCACCACGTTGTTCTTACATGCGATCGAGGTAAACCCCCGCAGTTACCCCGCGCAAAGCAACCTGGCAGTGGTTTACCAGGAACAGGATGACATCGAGCTGGCCGAACAGCACTTTCGCATGGCCATCGAGATCGACCCACAATCCCCCGAGGCCTTCATCGGGCTAGCCAGCCTGCTCATGAACCGCGGAGACACCGACGAAGCATTCGCCAACTTTCAGAACGCGTACGAAGTCGCTCCCAATGCCGATCGTGCTAACGCGGGACTGGCAATGATCTACCTAGATCGCGGCGACCTGGCCCATGCCGTGGAGCACTTTCGTCAAGCCTTCTCCCCGCCCGGCGGTCACACAGCCCCCACATTAACAGGCACGAAGTGGGCAGCCGTGGCCGAACGCTATGCCCGCCTGTTGGCCACGTGCCCTCAAGAAGAACACCGCGACGGGCAGCAAGCCGTGGAGTTCGCACAGAAAGCAGTCGCGAATACGAACGCTCGCAGCATCCGCTGCCTCGACACATTGGCCGCCGCCTATGCCGAACTCGGCAAGTACGAAAATGCCGTGCAAGCCATTCAGCAAGCAATCGAACTGGCCAATCTCTCAGATCAGCCAGGCCAACTGCCAGTACTCAACGAGCACCTCGAACTTTACCAACGCAACGAGCCACTTCGAGAAGATCCCACGCTTTCTCGATGAAAAACACTTTCTAAAAATCAAGGCGAAGCTTCGCCCCCGCTGGCCGAAGCCGATTCGGTCGGTAGCGTTCGCTGGCTCAACAGAAACCCAATGAGTTGATAAAAGTCGGGTTCACTCACCAGGTCGACCACGTTGGCCGGCATCGGCGAAAGGCTCGACACGCTCTGCTCGTCGATCTCATCGAGCACCACCCGCACTTCCTTCCCCTGGTTATCGGCCAGCACCAGCACCTCACCTTCTTCCCGAAGTGCCAGCCCACTGATCACACGTCCGTCGTCGGTCGAAATAAGCGTGCTGCGGAATGCCTGATCGACATTGCGACTGGGGTCGAGCACATCTTCTAGCAGTCGCTCCAGCCCGCGTTGGCCAACCCCGTCGAGTTCGGGCCCCACCTTCTTACCCTCGTCGCCAATCTTATGGCAGGCCGCACAGTGCTTTACAAAAACCTGGTGCCCTGTCTCCAAGTCGACCTTCGCCGCGAGAAAACCCTCGCGCCGCGAGGCGACCAGCGTCGTCAACCGTTCATCGGCTGGCGGCAACGAAGCCGTGAGCTTCTCTATCCGTTCACCCAACCCCTCGAGCTGCGTATTGTGTAGACGCTCGACGATGGTCTTTTCCTGCAACAACCGTGCAGTCGCCTTTCCTGCTTCGATGGAAGCTAGCAACGCCTCAGCGCTTTCTTTCCGCGAAGCCAACGCCGAGGCGATCTCCACCGCCAACCGCTCCGGGGCCGAGGGCAGAATTTCGAGCAAGGCTTCTTGAGATTCCGGCGAACCCATCCCCCCCAGCGCCCCGGCTGCTTTCTGCCGAATGTCGATCGGCTCCCGGCCGTTTTTCAGAATGCCCGCCAACAGTGGGACGGCCCTAGCGGCGTCGTTGGCCACACACGCATCAATTGCGTTGTTTCGCAGCGGCGGATGGTCGGAAGAGGCGGCCAAACTCGCCAGCTGATCGTACACACCCGCGAGCCGCAATTCGCTCGCCAGTTGAATGCCGTGCCGCTTCTGCAAGTTGCTATCCGAACTAAGCAACTTTCCCGCCAATGTCACCGCCCACTCGGTGGCCGTTTCCGGTAGCTTGCCCCCTCGGGCCTGTGCCGCCCGATTCAGCGTCTCGAGCACAGTTTGTTGCGTGTCGACGTCCGCACTTTGATGGATCTCCGCATATCCATAGATCGAAGGCACCTGCGACTCACCCAGATGCCGTGCCATGTGATACAGCAACCGCTCCAGGTCACGATTCTCCAACGTGGCCGTAGTGAGAAACTGCATCAAATACTCAGCCGACCGCTCGCTGGGAATCCCCTCGCTGATGTCGGCAATCTTCCAGGCGTAGTCATCATTCGATGAAATCAGCGTGGCCAGCTCATCGTAAGCTCCGTCTATCTGCATATGATCGCGAATCGCCATCCGCGCCACGTGCGTCAGGTGCGTGTCTTCGGGATCGGTTTGCTGCCAGAGCTTCAGCAAAGGTTCAACCTGTCGCAAGTTCGGGTGCCGGGCCAAAGCATCAGCCGCTGCCCGACGAACAAACGGGTCGTCGTCGCTCAGTCGGGCAATCACCAGGTCTGAGTTCTGGTTCGAGTCGTCCCAGACATCCCGCTCGGCCAAAGCCTTCATCAGATGCACTCGCACCAGGCGATCGGGATCCGCAGACAACTCCTCAATAAGCTGGTCGTTCAACGCACCCAATCGGAACACCACCCACATGCCATGAGCCCGTTGCTGCGCGGAGCCGTTCCGCACGATCTCCATCACTGGCTCAATCGCCGCCTCCCCCACCCGATCGACCAACTCATGCGTGGCCATCGTGCTTTGTGCGAGGTTTGGGTTATCTAGCGTTGCGATAAGCTCTTCAGTGCTGAATTGAGTAAGATTCGGCAATTCCTGCAATGGTTGTGCACGATCATCGTTCCCCGTATACACCGCGCGCCAGATCCGTCCCCGGAAGCGGTCGCGCCCCGGGTGGTCAAGCGGAACTTCGTAATGCCCAATAATGCGGTTGTAAAAGTCGGCGATATACAATGCCCCGTCCGGTCCCAATTGCAAATCCACCGGACGAAACCAGGGATCGTCGCACGAAATAAAGTCAGGCTCTTCAATCGCCTCGTAAGTCGAGCCGTGAACATCAAAGTGATCGCGGTTTACCCGCCCAGTGACGGGGTTGCCGATGAACACCGTATCGCGAAATTGCTCAGGAAAGTGTGCGGCCGTGTAATAAACAATCCCAGCAATGCCGGTCGAGCCGTGCAGGTGCTTGATCATCGAAGGCCCAAAGCCCATCCCATCGTGCGGCTTACCAAAGCTCGGGTACCACGCCCCGCGCAATAGCATATAAATCGGCTTCGTGTGACAGTCTGAGGTGTACAAGTTCCCCAGCGGGTCCCACGACATACCGAACGGGTTCACCTGTCCGTGCGTCCAATACTCGCAATGCGAGCCATCCAGCTTCATTCGCCAAGTATTGCCCGAGTGCATGGTGATCGCTTGCCCGTCGGAACCCTGAACGGTCGAGCTGTTCGCAAACCCATGGCAGGCATAAATCCAACCGTCGAGCCATCGGTTCAGTGAGTTGCACATTCCGTGCGTATCGCGACTTTCGATTGTCCCGTAGAGCAACTCCTCTTCGTCGTACTCACCATCACCGTCGGTGTCACGGCTGATATTAATCTGCGGAATGGTGTGGTAAATCACCGCATCGTCGACAGGCAGCAGCCCAATCGGAATGTTCAGCCCCTCGACCACCTTGGTAATGGTGGTCGCCCGCCCCTGTTCGTCGAAGTCTTCCATCCGCGTAACGGCATCGCGTTTGGGAGCATCGTCGGCCGCAGGATAGGGGTACTCCAACGAATGCGTTACAAACAGCCGCCCCCGATTGTCGAAGCGGATGTTCATCGGCTTGGCGATGTCCGGCTCGCTAGCAACAAGCTGAATCTCAAACCCCTCGGGCAAGTGGAACAGCTTCTGCTGCTCTTCAGGCGTCAGTGGATCGGTTGGAGCGACAAGCTGCACTTCCTGAGCAACGGAAGAGTTGACGACCAAGCCTGTCAGTAGTGTGGCGAGCAGTAAACGAAAAGACATCGGCCGGCAGATCATTGCCTCTCCTTGTGCCTGAAGCCGGTTCGATATGGGGCGGGATAGTTGTGGTCGAACCGTGAAGGTTCCAGTCTATTTTGCCCCCGCAGCACGATCAACAATGGCGTCTTCGCCCATCGGCAGCCGCTTGACGGTCTATTAGCATCGTCGTACGATTCGCGACGTTACGCGCTTTCTGGCACAGCACGTCTAATCGCGGCCATGAGTTCAGCCCTTCTATGGAATCCACGACGTTTCGCTTTCCAACCACCATCCGCTTCGGTGCCGGTGCCCGCTCGGCACTGCACGATTTTGCCAAACAATACGGGGTAAAACGCCCGCTTCTGGTCACCGATGCCGGCCTGCCCGAGACCGAGGCCTATCGTCTCACCGCGAAAGTGCTCGATAAGACCTGGCCGGGAGAATGGCAGTCGTTCGCGGGCATTCACCCCAATCCCACCGAGCAAGACATTGAAGATGCTTGGGAGGAATACGATGCCCACGGCTGCGACGGCATCGTTGGTGTCGGCGGTGGTAGCGGCATCGACGGTGCCAAAGCCTTGCGACTGAAGGTGGCGTTCCCCAGGCTCGCGCTGCCCGAAATTCCGCTCGATCAACTCCCCAAGCGGCTGGTCCCGTTCTGTGCGATTCCGACCACCGCCGGAACCGGCAGCGAAGTGGGCCGCAGCACCGTGGTCACGGTCGAAGGCTTGGGCCGGAAGGTCGTCTTTGGCGCGCCCCCCCTCATGCCCGAGCTGGCGATCCTAGACGCCGAACTGACCGTCGGCCTGCCACCCCATCTCACGGCGGCTACGGGGATGGACGCAATGACGCACGCCATCGAGTCGTTCGTCTGCCCGGTCTACCACCCCATGTGCGACGGCATTGCACTGGAGGCAATCCGCATGGTCCATCAATATCTCCCCCGCGCCGTGGCCGATGGCACCGATCTCGAAGCCCGCGGGCAAATGCTGATGGCCGCCGCGATGGGCGCGGTCGCCTTCCAGAAAGATCTAGGCGCGGCCCATTCGTTGGCTCATCCCATGTCGACCGAGTTCGGCACGCATCATGGGCTCGCCAACGCGTTGGTTCTCTCCACGGTCATTCGGTTCAACGGCGAACTCGACCCGCAGCTCTATGCTCGCGTGGCGAACGCACTGGGCTTGCCCGAAAGTTCCGATCCAACCTCTGCCGTGGCCGACGCTATCGACACCTTGAATCAAACCATCGGCATCACCAAGCGGCTTGGCGACCTGGAAATTCCCCGCGAATCGCTCGCCAAACTCGCCGACAAGGCCTTCGAAGACGGCTGCCATTTAACCAACCCCCGCCCGTGCACCCGCGACGATCTACTTTCGCTGTACGAGGCCGCCTGGTGAGGTGATAAGCCGAGTCGCTCATCCCATTCAACCGCTTGAAAAAACGCAAAGGAATCAAAATATCGTGTGGCCCGAGACGGAGTTTCCCGACAGTCTGTTGATCGACGGCCAATGGCACGACTCATGCTCCGCCGGCACGATGGAACTGATCGAACCGGCGACCGAGCAACCGCTTTGCACCATTCCCGCCGCCGGCACCACTGAAATCGACAAAGCCCTGGAAGCCGCGGCCACCGCATTCCGCACACAGCCATGGGCGAAAGTAGCCGCCAAGCAACGCACCGCTACGCTGCTGAAGATCGCCGCGCTCATTCGCGAAAATGCCGAATCGCTGGCCGTGCTGGAAGCCCGCAATGTGGGCAAGCCCATCAGCGAAGCTCGCGGCGAAGTCATGGCCGGCGCCCGCTGCTTCGAGTATTACGCCGGCGCAATCAGCCGCTTCGTGGGCGAGACCATTCCCGCGTCCGACTCAGGGTTCGACTTCACGATGCACTCGCCACTCGGCGTGGTCGTAGCGATCGTCCCCTGGAACTTCCCCTTCTGCATGGCCTGCTGGAAGGTGGCCCCCGCCCTGGCGACCGGAAATGCCGTGGTCTTGAAGCCGGCCAGCTTAACGCCTCTCACCGCGCTGGCCTTGGGCCGCATTGCCCAAATGGCCGAACTGCCCCAGGGTATCCTGCAAGTTCTAGCTGGGCGCGGCAGTGATATTGGTGATCACCTCGTCTCGCATCCGCTAGTCCGGAAGATCGCCTTCACCGGCGAAACCACTACCGGCGCCCGCATCATGAAGCTGGCCGCCGACGATATCAAACGCGTCTCACTCGAACTCGGCGGCAAAAGCCCCAACATTGTTTTCGCCGATGCCGATGTGGATGCCGCAGCCGCAGCCGCCCCCATGGCGGTGTTCGGCAATACGGGCCAAGACTGCTGTGCTCGCAGTCGGGTATTCGTACAAGACACGGTCTATGACCGCTTCGTCGAGGGCATGCTCGCCGCCACCAAGAGTCTCGTCGTTGGTCCCCCCTTGGAAGACAAAACCGAATTGGGGCCCATGGTCTCCGATGGGCAACGCAACACGGTCGAAAAGTACCTCGCCCTGGCGAAAGAGGAAGGTGGCCGCATGCTTTGCGGGGGCGATCGCCCTCAGTCGCCCGGTTACTACCTGTCGCCGGCCATCGTCGAAGGTCTCCCCAACTCGGCCCGCACCTGTCAGGAAGAAATCTTTGGCCCCGTGGCCTGCGTGATTCCCTTCCGCGACGAAGCCGAGGCCATCGCGCTGGCCAACGATACCGTCTATGGTCTCTCCGGCTCGCTTTGGACCCGCGACGTCGAACGCGCCCTTCGCGTGGCCCGCGCGGTCGATGCCGGCGTGTTGAGCGTGAACACCAACAGCAGCGTCTATCAGGAAGCCCCCTTCGGCGGATTCAAACGCAGTGGCTTCGGTCGGGACTTGGGTTTCGAGGCCATGAAGCTCTACACCGAAATCAAAAACGTCTTCATTCGCGTCAACGAGGCAAACGCATGAGCGAGCACGAAGAATCGGTTGGATTCCTCCCCCCGTGGTTCACTTCCGAACCGATCGATACGGTGCTCGTCGCGTTTCCCGATGTCTACGGTCGCCTGATCGGCAAGCGGTTCACCCACAGCCACTTCATGCGCAGCGTGCTCAAGTCGGGCACGCACATGTGCAACTATCTGCTCACCGTCGATATCGACATGAATCCCCTGGACGGGTTTCGCCTGGCAAGCTGGGACCAGGGCTACGGCGACTTCCACGCCGTGCTCGATCTGCGAACCATTCGCCGCATGCCCTGGTGCGAAGGGAGCGCCATCGTGCTGGCCGATCTGCACCACGAAGGCGATCACGGCCCCGTGGTCGAATCGCCCCGCGCCGTGCTGCGGCGTCAGCTCGATCGCCTCACCGAACGTGGCTTCAACGCGATGATGGGCTCCGAACTCGAGTTCTACCTGTTTCACAACACATACCCGCAGGCTGAAGAACAATCGTTCCGCAGCCTCACACCCTCGTCCGACTACCTGATCGACTATCACTTGCTGCAAACCGCACGCGACGAAGATGTCATGCGCCGCCTCCGCAACGAGTTGGGCGATGCCGGCATTCAGGTCGAAGGCAGCAAAGGCGAATGGGGCAACGGGCAATACGAGGTCAACCTGCTCTACTCCCCTGCCCTGGAAATGGCCGACGCGCATGTGCTCTATAAGCACGCCGCCAAAGAAATCGCCGCCCAACAAGATCGGGCCATCACCTTCATGGCCAAGTGGGCCGCCGATCAGGCCGGCAGCAGTTTTCACCTGCACACCAGCCTGTGGGGCGAGAAGGAAAAAGCCAACCTGTTCTGGGACGCTAAGTCTGGAGAGGGTTCAAAGATCTTCCGCCAGTTCCTCGGCGGGCTGATGAAATACGGCCGCGACTTCACCTACTTCTTTGCCCCCACCGTGAACGCCTACAAGCGATTCCAAGCCGCCTCCTGGGCACCAACCCGCATGGTGTGGTCGATGGACAATCGCACCACGGCCTTCCGCGTAATCGGCGAGGGCAATGGTTTCCGCGTAGAGAACCGCTCGCCGGGGGCCGACGCCAATCCCTACCTCGCCTTCGCCGCCACGTTGGCCGCAGGACTAGCCGGCATCGACGAAGAACTCGATTGTGGCCCCGCCTACAAAGGCAACGCTTACGAAGACGAGTCGCTCGAACGCCTGCCCAGCAGTCTCGAACACGCCGCCGAATTGCTCGACCAAAGCGAAATTGCCCGCACCGCCCTCGGCGATGATGTGGTCGACTTCTACACCCACACCGCCAGACTAGAAGCCCAAGCCTACGCCGCCAGCGTCACCGACTGGGAACGCAAACGCTACTTCGAGCGGATCTAAAATCATTCGTCAGTCCGAATGAAGTGAAGGGTGCCACCGGATCTTGATCCGGTGCGGCGCAGCCGCCAGAGGATGCCAGAAAGTTCTTCCATCGAGGGTGGCCCGGCCGCGCCGGCCGGGTCGCCGCAGGCGACAAGATGCTCTAAGAACGGCGCCCTCTATCTAGATCGCATAGAGAGGCGATAAAGCTTCGAGCAACCATTAACACCCACCGCACCACACAGCCGCACTCAACGGCATCCTGTCGACTTCGTCGACCCAGCCGGCACGGCTGGGCCACCCGGTGGCGTTCTGCTGTTCCCTACACCTCCATCGCGGTCCCAATCGGGTTAATCCCCTGCGGTTCCGGAATACCCTCGTGAATAATCTTCCACGAGTCCCCCATCTCCCGCATGTCCCGGTAATCCCGCGGTGCGTAAGCAAACTCGAGCTGTGGTGTTCGCTGCGGTGTACCACCCTCGAAACGCGATTGCATCTCCGCGTCCAGAATCCCAGTAACCAGCAACGTGCGTTCCACCGGGTACGGTGCCTGGCCAGTGCGGAAGTGAGCTTGAATGGCGTGCGAAAGCGCCTTGAACAAATTGCGGTTCTGCCAAGGACCCACATAAAACCGTGTGAACCGCGGCTCATTCTCGCCCGCCAGCTTACACGCAAAATTCCAACGCGTGCCGCTACCCCCCACGGTCAGGCACAGAGCTCGCAAACCGTCTTTGTAAGTCAACAGCACTCCGTGCGGCGCTCGAGGATTCACTTGCGGCAATTCCATAATCTGCCGTAGCGGAGGTTGCCCTGGCCCAAGCTCCGCTGCCATCGCGGCTTCCGCCACGGGGATCGACCACAGCCCCTCGTCGGCAGCCGCCCACAGGGCGTCACCTTCCAGAAACTGCACTTCCTGAACGCCCGTCTCTCCCCCCTCGCGGGCTTCGATCATCGATTGCAGCACTTCCAGAGCATGAAAGTCATACGACTCAACCCCGCCGCCATGAATCGAAACGGCCGTCTCAATCTTCGCCCCCGCAGGTAACTCCAGCACCGGCCACCGTTGAGCTAACGGAACCGAACTGCCAGCCATCAATGGGAATCCCATGCTTTGCGACGTGTCGTACATCTCTTTGGCAAAGTCCCAGCGGTAGGACAAGTGTTTGTCGCTGAACACCGGCACCGAGCGGTTGCTGTCGCGGAACACCTCCGTGATCCCATCGAAGAACCGCTTCCGCGGGTACATGTGCTGGCCCTTCTCATTGTGCGGGTAATTGCCATGCTCGCCGATCGAAAGCACCGCATCGACCGCCAACCGCTCGCCACCGTCGCACAGGGCTTCGCCAATCGTGGGATAGATGTTGATGCCGTATTGCTTCGCCACATCGCGAGCCATCTCACCGTCGGGATACTGATCGACGTAAAGGCTCACCACATCCATTCCCGATGCAGTCTTCTCCCCGTTGAACAGGTACGGTTCAAGAAAATTTTCCAGAATTACATGCGCGTGGCTGCGATAAGTGAACTCGGTGATTACAGCGACCACCTTCAGCGGCTTATCTTTGTTCGCCCAGGCAGAAGAAGCAGACTGCCAGGAAAGCCCCATCCCGGCCAGGGCCGCAGACCCCGCCTGCAAGAAACGGCGGCGTGAAGCATCGAAACCGTGAAGGTCGTGAGACATGACAAGGGCTCCTCATCGGGTGGGCGATGGCGGCCACAGCAGGGCCGCGGGGGGAGCCGCATTGTAGCATGCCGCGAGACCGGGTGCCTGATCGAGGCGCGAATGCCGGGAATCAGCGAGCCCTACGTATCCCACTTGCCCGCACTGCGAAGTTGTTCGACTTCCTTCGTCGCCCGCTCTTTCAAGTCGACATAGTCGGTCTTCGCCACGCGATTCAGCGGCAGCCCGCTGGGCGGGAGCAGCACATAGTGCGAAGGCCGCATATAGGCCGCAATCTCCTTCGCGTGAGTTTCAAGCTCCTCGGTGCTCAACTCCGCGTCGGGCTTCTGCTCAACGAACAGTACAATCGCCTCAGAGAACACCTCATGCGACATGCCCACCGCCCCGCAGCAAGCCACCTTCTCGGTAAGCAACGCAAAGTGCTGCTCAACCTGCGCAGGATGTACCTGGTAGCCCTTGGGCTTGATGACAAACTTCGAACGGCCCGAGAACATCAGCCCCTTTTCGGTCTTGTAACCAAGGTCACCGGTGTAGCAGATCCCGTCCTTCGAAACCGTCTTTTCGTAGGCCTCGCGATTGTTCACGTAATCGATGAACACCTGCGGCCCGCTGAAGCAGATCTCGCCCGGCTCCCCATCGGGCAGTTCGTCGCCCGCTGTGCCGTCGGCCTTCATCGGCTCGCGAATCGTCAGCGGCGTAACCGGCATGTCGTATCCTACGCCCGCCAGCAAATCGTCCACCGTTCCGTCCAACGGGCTGTACGTCACAAATCCGGCCATCTCACTCAGCCCCAAACCGGTGCCGAATTTGGGAGCCATCTTGCTCAGTTGTTCCAGAAACTGCCGCGAGACCTGCTGCCCGCCGTAGAGCGCAAACTTCAAGGTCGAAAGGTCGAAGTCTTTATAGTTGGGCAATCGCCATTGCATTGCGAACAACGCTGGAATCTGACCAAACGAATTCACCTTGTACTTCTCGATGGCCTGCAGCGATTTCTCCGCATCGAAGATGTGCAGAATCACCGCCGTGCCACCGGAGAAAAGCGTCGTCATCAATTGCTCGGCCTGGCAACCCACATGCGAGGGCGGAAGATTCACCAGCATGATCGAGTTGTCCATCATGTCGAACCCGCCGGCCAGACACATGTTCTGGCACGTGATGTTGCGGTGCGACAACAACGCCGGCTTCGGAAAGCCCGTGGAACCGGTGGTGTAAATCACCTGGGCCCCGTTGGTTTCACGTACCGAGTCAGTCGCGTCTTGATAGGCTTCCCAAGGCTTTTCGACTGACGGATCCCAGTGCGGATCATTCGCCTTGGCGATCGCTTCGGCAAACACTTTCACGCCGGAGAGGGCCCCTTCGATCTCGTCGCCCGGCGCGGTGAACTGCAGGAAGTGTTCGATGTAAGGACACTCGGCCTTCACGGCCATGCCCAACACGCCGAAGTCGGCCACAGGCGTCTTACCCAGCAGCGCGTACCCCTTCGGCTCGACCAGACCCAGCGAGCGAATCACCTCGGGGGCTTTTAACCGCAAGTCGAGCGGTGCGTGCACCACGCCGATCTTGAAGCAGGCGTACTCCAAGAACACATGCTCAGCCGTAAGCGGCAGCGAGGTGGCGAAGAAGTCGCCCGGCCGAAAACCCAGTTCAATGAGCTTCATCGCCACGGCAGTCGTGATGTTGTCCAACTGCCGGTAGGTGTACTCTTTGCCGGTGTCGAATTCGGCTATCGCCACATGATCGGGCGTCTCGCGAGCCCACTTCGAAACAACTTCGTGCAGAAGATGTCGATCGGCAAAATCGCGTTCGTAGTGAAGAAGGGTGTACTGGGGAACGCCGTGGCGGTACGTGAGCTCGGTTGTCATTAGCGGTCGAAAAATACTCCGAGAGTCTTAAGCAGTTCGAGCGAGCGATTCACTCGCACACGTGAAAACTTAGCGAACCAGTTCCCCAGGCTTTTCTGGGCTGAAACGCTGTTGGGCGATCTTCGTGGTCAGCGGCTCGTCCATCGCCAGCGATTGCGTATGTTGCAGGTAATCGGCATCGAGCACGTCGAGTTGTGCTAAATCATTCTGGCACCACCGCCGTGCGATTACACAGGCTCGTCCATCGCCCCGTTCTTGCATCATCCAGCCGGCATGTTCCACCAGCAGCGCCGCGGCATAGGTTCGAGCCAACGCAAACGCGAAGCGTCGTGCCCCAGCCTCGATCGACGCCCGCCCCTCCGCCATCACTTCGGGAAGATACGCTTCGATCTTTTCCAGCGACTCGTTGATCCGACGGGTGCAGGGCTCCAGTTCATCGACCGTGCAAGCGGCCACCTTTTTACGAATATCAGCCAGGAATGGCACCAAAGCCCCTTCGCGATCGATGGCCCTCAGGCAGTCGAGGCTCAGAATGTTAGTCGTGCCTTCCCAGATCGAAAGCACCTGCCCGTCACGCAGTAGTTTCGGCAGGCCCGTGTTCTCGACATAGCCGGCTCCGCCAAATGATTCGAGGATCTCGCTGGCCGAAGCAACACAATGCTTGGCGGTGAACAACTTGACGATCGGCGTCAGCAGCCGCAGCACGGCCGACTCATCAGGGCTCGCCTCGCCACATTCCTCGCGGCCCAACAGTTCGATTCCCCGAAATGCCAGCAAGAAGCAGCCGTTGAAGTCGACTTCCAGGTTGGCCAGCGTCTCGGCATGTAGCGGCTGATCGGCCAACTGCCGGCCGAACGCCACCCGACGTCGGGCGTAATCGCGGGCCAGCGCCAATCCCCGCCGCATCAGCGACACCGAACTGATCGCGTTGTACAGTCGCGTGACGTTCACCAGCGTGGTGATGTTCGCTACCCCACGTCCCGGTTCGCCCACCAGCTTGGCCACGGTTCCTTGTAGTTCAAGTTCGGCCGTGGGAAGTGCCTTGGTCCCCAGCTTGTCCTTCAGTCGATTGATCACGATGTTGTTGAGTTGCCCATCGGCGTCGCGTGTCTCCACATAGAACAGGCTCAGCCCCCGACTACCGGGCATGGCTTCCCCTCCCGGCGGTTCGATTCGGGCCAGCGTCATCGCCATCTGCGACGTGGTGGCCGAAGTGAACCACTTGCTACCGTACAACCGATAGACATCGCCATCGGCCCGGGCGATGGTCTCTCCACGCCCCACATCCGAACCACCCGTGCGTTCGGTCATCCATTGGCCCGAGGTCCAGAACTCCGCCGGATCGCGGCTCGTCAGATGGGCCAACGCATTCTGCTTCAACTCATCATCGCCCAATACCTCAATCAACCGCGCCGCACCATCGGCCATCGCCAACGGGCAAGAGAACACGGCTGACGACGGATTGAACAAATACAGCTTGGCGAACTGATGCACCCGCGAGGCCGATCCCAGCTTGCGATCGTAACCAATCGCCACCAGACCTTCTTCCGCGCTCACGCGTTCCAGTTCCTGCCACCCGCGGGCGGTTTCGATGTGATCGATACGACGCCCCCAAGCGTCGAACTGCACCAACTCCGGCGGATGGGCCTCTGCATCGGCGGCCATTTCCCCCACGTCGCCCAACAGCCGATCGGCAAATCGGGCCAGGTCATTCTCGACTTCTTTCCGTGCTTTCCCTTCCAGAACACGATCGAGAAAGCTCCGCAACAGCCCATCGTCGTGGTACTGATTCTCTAACTGTGGGCCATCTTGGTAGAAACCGGTCATGTGTTGAGTCCTTGATCGCAAGGATCGCTGTGAAAGTGTTACAGTTCGTGCAAGAAGGGAGATCGCACGAGCCCTATTCTACAGCAGCGATGCCTGGGATGAAAACTCGCGATGACTGCTGCAGAACGCCTAATAAAACAGCCGGATGATGGGGTTTCGCACGGGCTGTGCTAATAGATACCGCCCAGGCTCACCATCACGGTGTCGTCCAGATCGAAGTCCGGAGGCATCTCGCTCAGATACTCGAGTTTACGGCCGAAGATGTAGCCCACCTCGGCCCGGGTGGAGATGCCGTTTTCGACTTTTCGTTCGAGTCCCAGAATCGCGCGGAAGTCTCGTTCGGTGGCAATGTCGTTGGTACCGTTCGTTCTTTCGATGGCCCAGGATCCACCGCCGAACTCACCGGCAACGTAAGCCCACCAGGCAAAGTTGAGGCCTGGGAAGATGCGTCGGGCAATCTTGGGGCGGGGGAAGATGAGTTCCACGTTAACATCATCGTTGGGCTTCCAAATCAATCCCGCGGCCGGCAGCAAGCTCACATCTTCTCGGTCGAGGTAGACAATTCCCAAAGCCACCGTAACCGTGGGCGACCACTTGTATATTCCAATACCCCGTCCCATCACGCGAATGGCCTGCGACGAGGTGTTGTCGAAGTCGCTGTAGAATCCTGGTGCTACGGCGATGTCGGCTGTCCAACGATCGTTAATCGGTCGCAGCCATCGGAACTCCAAGGCGGTGTCGTACACCCGCGGCGGCAAATCACTCACCGCCGGGCCATCGAGAAAGTGCGCCGCAAAACGTGGCGAGATGAGCAGCGGTGGCTGTCCTGGAATTAGCGGAGCCGCCAAGACCGCGCTGAGGTCGAGTGTATTGCCGCCCAGCCCCTCGTCTCCGCCAGATGCCAGCCACGTTTCGGTGAAGGTCACCCGCTGCAGCATTCCCGGCTTTGCGCCAGGCGGCAATTGGGGCTTCTGCTGAATCGCATTCTCCTGCGGATAAACAACCACAGGACCCGAGGGCATCAGCGGCTCGTGAATCTCATAGGTCTCGACGGTGTCGTAAGCCTGAAAGCCATCACTCGTTTGATAGCCTTGAGCGGGACCCGATGGCCCCGGCATCGAGTATTCGACCGAAGCCGTCCGAATCGTTGGGTCCGAAGGCAAGCGAACAATTTGAGCGACCGCAGTCGCATTCGGCGTCGACAGCAGTGCTGTCAGCCAGCCCATCCCTAGGCAGAGAGTTCCACGCATTAGATAGCTCGCATAGCTCGTTGAGTTCATGCAATGCGATACTTTAGAGGAGCGTGAAGGGGCAAAAATGATGGGCAGCCCGACTAGTACGAAAGCCCAGAGCGAATCATAACCGTGCTATCGGGCCGAAAGTTACCCGGGCCGATGCGGAAGTTCACTTCGCGATCGAACAGGTAACCAACCTCGAACCAGGCCCGTGAACCTTGCAGGGTCAACATTTCAAGACCGAGCATCACACGAATATCGTTGTACTCGAATTCGTCGTGAGTCCCATCGACCTGCTCGTAAGTCCACGCCCCACCCCCATAATTACCCGAGACATAACCCCACAGATCATTGTTTCCGATTGTGGTTAGCCGCTGAGCAAGCTTGGGATTGGGGAAGACGATTTCATAGCGGGCATCAGGGTTTGGCGTCCAAATGGCACCACCGGCGGGCAGCAACTTGATGGAGAGTCGATCGTAATAGATGATTCCCAACGTGAACTGCCACTGCGGCGAAGCGGTGTACACACCAAGGCCTCGACCCATGTACCGCAAGCTGTCGCCGTCGAAGAACTGGAAGTCGCTATACACACCGATCCGCACCGCGATATCGGCCCCAAAGCGATTGCCAAACCGAGGGTTCCAAGCTGCGTCCAGGTAGGCGTCGTACACTTCACCCGGCAATGCTGGCATGCCAGCCACTTCCGTTGAGTCGGGCCCACTGAGAAAATTCACCGCAAAGCCCGGTGTGATCAACAGCGGGGCCTGATCGAACCCGATCGGTAGCGTGCCGGTGACGTTGAGTTCAATGATGTTGAAGCCCAGATCGGGACCGCCATTGCGGTTGATCCAGGTGTATTCAGCAAACACCTGATCGATCAGCCGTTGAGGCCCGCCATACGCGGCCGGCGTGCCGTTCAGATAGTTCTGTTGCGGCAACAACTGCGGCGGCGCCAATGAAGGATCGGAATAAGGGTCCCAGTTGGGGTTCATCGGCTGAATCGTGCCATCGAGCGTGGCCCCCGGTGGCGAGCCGTAAACCGAGCCCGACGTCACCGAAGGTGTGCCGTAGGTCTGCGGCGGTGCCCCATAAGTTTGCGGTGGCGTGGTTACCACCGGCGGATAGGCGGTCGTCCCACCGCTATTCACCGTGGTCGGAAACTGCACACGCTGAGCATGTACATCGAAGGTAAGCAACGCCAGTGTGGCAGCGAATACCAGTCGTTTCATGAACACCGTCTTCCGGGGAACGCTTTTGTCGACTACGAACCGAAAAAACGAACCCGTCTCGGAGCTTGACTCGTCAAGGCCGATGTTCTTAAGGCGTTTGCGAAATTGGGTCAAGATCGGTTGCCAGAATGCCGACAGGGCCCGCCTCGCACGATTGCCTTCGATTCGCGATTCGTTACGATAGCGGCATCGCGATAGCACGCCCTTGGGGCTTTCTGCTAGCGGGCTTGTTGCTGTCGACGATGGGGTGCCGCTCTTTCCACTGAGAACCAGAGGATGTCGATGACCAGTGAACAACCCTCGGACGTGCAGCAGACCAAACAGGCCTTACGCACCGAAGCCCACGCCCGCCGCAAAGCTCAAGAAAACAAGGACGAACTGAGCAAGTCGATCTGCGAAAAGTTCGTCGCCCTCCCGGCGTACGAGCAGGCCTCCACAGTGATGTTCTACGTCGATGTCCGCAGCGAAGTCCGCACCCGCCACTACCTTCCTACGGCGCTCGAGCACAGTAAGAAGATTGTGGTGCCCTGGTGCAACGACGAAGGCGAACTTGAACTGTTCCACCTCGAGTCGATGGACGAGCTGGAGATCGGCATGTACAAAATTCTCGAGCCCCGCACCGACTTGCGGAATGTACCCGAGAAACAAGTGAAGGCCGAAGAACTCGACCTGATCATGGTCCCCGGCGTCGGGTTCGATCGCCAGGGCGGACGCATGGGCCACGGCAAGGGCTACTATGACAAGCTTCTGCAACACGCCCGCAGCGACGCCCCGCTGGTGGCGCCAGCGTTCGAGTGCCAGCTCTTCCCCGAGATCCCCATGGACTCGCACGACATCTATATGGATCTCGTAATCACCGAAAACGATACCTACCAAGGACGAGGCAGGGCTTAACGTGGCAGCAGAGCATCGCGCGATTGTCGAAGATACCTATGCCGAGGCATTTCGCAGCATCTACGCCGAGGTGCTCATCACCGCACGCGATCGCCGCTGGCTCGATCATGCCATCAACGCGGCGACCGGCAACGCCTCGAGCACGATTCTCTGCGACTGCGAGGCGGGTCTCGATCGCTACGTCGGCCCCGGCGGAGACGAAAGCTTCGCCACGCCCGACGGTCGACCCGGTGCCGTGGTGCAATTCCACGTGCCCCGCTTCCGCAAAGACCGTCGCGAAGCCCTCGAGCGCACGCTGCTGGTGCGGCTAAGCCAGAACGTGCTCACCTGCCCAACGACGAGCTGCTTCAACCTGCTCGACACCGAAGACTACTTCAAGCTAGGCCGTAAGATCTCCTTCTTTGGCGACGGTTACCAGTTCCGCGATACCCGTCACGGTCGCCCCATGTGGGTCATTCCAATTCTCGGCGGCGAGTTCGCCCTCGATCGTCGCTTCGGCTACCGCGACGGTTTGATGGGCGGCAACCTGTGGTTCATGGGCGAAGATTTGGATTCGGCCCTGGCCGCAACCGAACGAGCCCATGAAGCCGTGATGGCATCGCCCGGGGTAATTACGCCCTTCCCAGGTGGTATTGCCGCCAGTGGGTCGAAAGCAGGCAGCCGGTACTCGTTCTCCATCGCCAGCACATACGAAGACTTCTGCCCCACGCTACGTGAAACCCTGGGCGAAAAGTCACGCGTGCCCGAGGGAGTCGGCTCTATCATGGAGATCATTATCAACGGCCGCGACCTGGAGTCGATCGTCGCAGCCTCGCAAGCCGCCATCCGCGCCTCGGTCGATTCCCCCGGCCTGCTCCGCATCTCCGCCGGCAACTACAACGGCCGCCTCGGCAAAAGCTTCATCTACCTCCACCCCGATAAGCAGCCCAAAGAATAGGCCGCTTCGGTAGGGAATGGTGATCGCTACTCACCTGATGTGGTGCTGAGGCACTTTCGGCACTGTCTATTACCCCATAACCGCAACGCGGTTAAACAACATAGCCCAGGGTCAGCGGCAAAGCCGCGCCACCCTGGGAGACTGAAAGGCTCAATTCACGCACTCAATTCACGCACGAACCCTGAAAGGGTTCCACAATTCTCGCAAACGGTTATACAACCCTTACAGGGTTGACGTTAAACCATTTCCTGCTGTCCAGGGTGGCGCTCCGAGGCTGCGCCACTTCGCTTACCCTGGGCTAGGTTGTTTGACCCCGTTGGGGTCACCTTTGGGTGCGTAATGGCTTGCGACCCCTTCGGCGCCCCTACCCCCGCCGCACCGCCGCCAAACAAACTTCCTGCCGGTTGTACTGCAACTGCCGGGCCCGCACGTCGCGATACCCCCAACTCCGCACGCGACGACAAAACCGCGGGATATCTTCGCCCATCTCCCAGTTGAGCAGCTTCATCGTCAACAGCAGCCCATGAATCTTCACGCTGGGGTGCGTCACAATCTTCTCGACCATCTCGAGCGCCGACTCGGGGGCCACATTCATATCCGTCACCAGCAATCGCGAATCGCGAATCAACTTCAGCGGCACCTCCCCTGCATGGCGGCGAACATGCGTGAAGTTCGGCGAGGCCAGCACCGAGGCATCCACCTCCGCCGGATCGACACCAATCACTTTCAGCCCCCGGTCCAACATCGCCTGCACCGCGCCGCCCGGGGCACACCCCAACTCCGTCACCGTTTGCCCCGGCTTCAGTGGAGTCCGCAACCACCGCATGGCCTCAACCATTTTCAAGTACGCCCGCGAAACTGCATGCACCGGCAGTTCAATGTTTCTCAGCCCGCCTGGCCATTGAGAAGCGGCTGTCGACGCCCGATGGAACCCAACCCACCACGAGTCGGGCTCGACCAGGATGCAATCAAGCACCAACTGCCCCACGTCGGCCTGTTTACCCGCCCCCGCCGCAGGCTCGGCAAACTCCGCAGGACGCTGGCGAAGAATCTCATCGCGAGCCTCCTCCGCCGAAGTGGTCGGCCCCGGCTCATAGCCGCGATAACCGGCTTCTGCCAAATCCCGCTGCCACACATGCACCGCATCAATCGGCATTCCCTCAGCCAGCCGCCACACATCGCGTGCCCGCTCTTCAGCAGAATCACCCGTTGCCCTGCCTAACGAAAGCGATGACGCTCGGGCAAACACCGAGTACAAGTTCGCGTCTTCCCCCAACCCATGCCCTTCCGGCAGTTTGAACGTGACAAACCCGGGGCGCGAAAACGCAAAACGAAACTCCGGCCACTGCCGCGCCATCTCGGCCTTCAGGGCTACTTCGGCTCCCTGCTGACAGGTGGTCATCACGAATTTGCATGCGGCGGCCAGGTCCTGACCGCTCTGCGAAGCCTCAGTGGCCGAGGTTCCAGCCTGTTGGGTTGACTCCGCGGCGGAGTCGTTCGTATCGCTCATCACTTCCAATCCAAAAATCACTCGGCTCCGGCCCTCGCAGCATGCACTGGACAGGGGCCCCTTGGCAGTCGTACTCTCAATAGAGACCAATCACAAGCCATGGAGCGTACGATGAAGGGTCAACTTGCACGCGGCGGCTTACTGCTTCTCGTCGCAATTGGCATTTCCCTGACGATGGGACGCGGTAGGCTGCTCACACTGGCCACCGCAGCCGAAAAGCCTTCCGATCAAACCACTCAGGCGGTTGAACCAGAACCCGCAGCGACGGTTCCGGCTGAAGACGTCGATCGCTCGCCGGTCGATTTCGCTTTGGCGCCCGACGAGTCGTGGATGGTGGTTGCCAATCAAACCTCCAACACACTGTCGTTGGTCGATCTTACCACAGGCCAGGTTTTACACGAGGTCCCCTGCGGCCAACGCCCCACCGATATCGAGCTGGCCACCGATGGTCACCACCTCTTCGCCACCGCAAGTTACTCCGGTGAGCTGATCCAATTCGCCATCGAGGGCAACAAACTGCACGAGGTCGATCGCCTCTCCCTCGGCTTTGAACCCTGGGGCGTGGCCCTCACGCCCGATGGAAAGACCGCCTACGTGGCTTTGGCCGCCGACGATAGTGTGGGCGAAGTCGATCTCGCCCAGATGGAACTCCGCCGCAAGATCCCCGTAGGCAAGTGGCCCCGCTTCTTGGCCCTTTCGGCCGATGCGCAGCGGTTGGCCGTCGGCGTCAGCGGCGATGGCGGCGTATCGGTCATCGACACGAAACAGGGCGAGCAGGTTTTCCAGGAAAACTTCGTCGGCATGAACCTCGGACGCATGTGGCCCTCGAAAGATGGCCAGCATGTTTACTTCCCGTGGATCGCCTACCTGAATAATCCCATCACCGAGCACAACATCCGCCGCGGCTGGGTGCTGGCCAGTCGCATCGCACGGGTCAACGTGAAAGAGCACGTCCGTCGCGAGGCCATCTCGCTCGATCCTCCCGGCGAGGCCGTCGCCGACCCGCACGCGGTCACCCTCAACCAAGACGAATCGTGGATGGTGGCCACCGGCTCAGGCACTCACGAGTTGCTCGTCTACCGCATGGAAGGTCTGCCCTGGCAAGACTACGGTGGACCCGGCGATCACCTCGCCCACGAACTTCGCGACAACCCCGACCGCTTCAGCCGCATCGAACTCGGCGGTCGCCCCATGGCCGTTCAGTTCTGCAACGACGGCCGCCGCGTTTGGGTTGCCAACTACTTGCTCAATGCGATGCAAGAAGTGGATGTCATAGACCGCGAAGTTCTTCGCACCATCGAACTCGGCGGACCGGAAACGCCCTCGCTAGCCCGCGCCGGCGAAGCGGTCTTCCTCGATGCCCGCAAGAGCCTCGACCAGTGGTATAGCTGCTACAGTTGCCACTACGAAGGCGGCCCCAATCGCCCCACGGTCGATACCCGCAACGACGGCGGTTTTCAAAACACCTACAAGACCATCCGAGGGCTCTACAACGTCGCCCAAACCGGTCCCTGGACCTGGCATGGTTGGCAAGATGACTTTCGCGCGGCGATGAAGAAGTCGCTAGCCGAGACGCTGATGTCCCCCGACACACCCCGCCGGGCCGACATGAAAGCCCTGATCGCCTACTTCGAGTCGCTCACCCCACCGCCCAATTGGTATCGCAACGCCGATGGCTCACTACCCGAGGCTGCCCAGCGCGGTAAAGCCGTATTCGAAGGCGAAGTCGCCGGCTGCGCGAATTGCCACAACGGGCCGGAGTTCACCGACGGCGAGATCCACGACGTGGGCACCGGCGAGCCGATCGATAAGTACGATGGCTACAACACGCCTTCGCTCATCGGTGTCGCCCGGCAAGTCCGCTGGCTGCACCATGGACACGCCGAAACGCTCGAAGAACTGCTCACCGGCGAGCATACCCCGGCCAAAGTCACCGGCAATGGTGAACTCAGCCCAACAGAGTTGGCTGATCTGATCGCGTACCTCAACACTCTTTAGTTAGCGTCCCGATCTCCGGATTTGCAATCGCTGCACTGCCATGCCAGCGGGCATCGGAATTCGTTTGACGCTCTCACTTTTTCCCGGACAATGCCAGGCAGCAGTATCAGTCATGCCTCATGAACTCGGGGGTGAAACGATGCGTCGTCGATGGTTCCTACTCGGGATGCAAAGCGGCCTGATTCTCGGGATTTCTGTGGCTTTTATCTCTATTTTCCTGCTCGAGGATTCGAAATATAACCATTCACCCGCACAGCAAATGACGGTGGGTACGACGGTGCAGATCCAGCACGGCGAAGGGATACCGCCGGCTCCCGTCCCTCCAGACTGGAAAACGCTATACTTTAACGGTCGGCCGTTTTATCTGATCCCGCTCGCGGCCAACTCTCAAGGCTGAACCCGGTCGTGGGGACCTACGTACAGGACGAAAGTTGGCCTCCGGGCCACTGTCCAAACGTGAAACTGTAGCGGTTGTAATACATGGGGTGCGGCTCGCGACGCCTGCGAACGCCCGCCATGGCCCGTCAACCGAAATGACATGTTTTTTCGGAGAAATGGGTTCCAATCTGACTTCTGAACGACTAACTTGACGATATTATGACCCGTTCAGGGGGTCTCTCGGTTTTTCTTCTTTTGCCACAGATTTCTCCTGTGGCCAACGGCTAACCAGGTGAGGTGCAATTAATGACCACTGCTGCTCAGGAGTTGGATGCGATCGAGGAGTTGAAGCTCCGCCGGTGGGCCCGCGAGAACTACGTCGACGACGCCGACCGAGATCAAACCTGGCATCCGGTCATCCTCGAAGAGATGACCCGGCGTGATATCGAGCGCAGCGCGGCCGACGAACTCTAGTCACCGCAGCTCTGACTGCCGCTCGATTCTTGTGGGCTGCTCTCAGCCCCCTGCGCTCTCGCGCGCACTTGCAGGTTTTCTAAGCTAGCTGCACGAAACGGTTTGGCAACTTGCGCTAGCTCCCTGCGCGTTCACTCAGTCGCCACGGGTTCTTTCGCACCGTTATCGCCCGCTTCATCGTTAGCAGGCGACGGTTCCGCCACTTCTTCAGCAGCCTCCGAGGTGCCCTCCGCCCGCTTCGTTGGCAGCCGATAACAGGCCATATTCAAATCGTTGCGAATGTAGGCCAGGTCGTCGACTAGCACGGGATTGTTCCAGGTCTTCTGCGCGGGGAACGGTTCGATCTTCCCCAACTCGCGATGCTCCTCTGGGGTCGCTTCGACCAGAACCAAATGCCCCGTTTCGGCTAACACCAGCAGCAGGTTGTCACGCAACAACATCTGACCGTGACCGTAGCGCCCACCTTTCCACTGCCGCTTGCCCGACTCCACTTCGAGACAAGTCAGAATCCCATTGTCCAAACCATACACATGACCTTCGTACAAAATCGGGCACGAGAAATGGCACTTGAGCTGCCGGTTTCGCCACAGTTCTTCCACATCCCACTCGTCGCCTGTCTGCTCAACCTGCAACAACGCCCCACCGGAGTTCGAGGTGATGAACACCCGGTTTTTATCCACCACGATTGGTTGTACGGCGTTGATGTCGAAGTCGGACGTCCACGGAAAACGCCACAGCTCCGTGCCGTCGGCAGGATTGTGCGAGGCTATCCCCGCAGCGTCGAATATCAGAATCTGCTGCTTACCGCCAAGTATGGCCAGCATCGGCGAGGCATAACTCCCCTGCGAGGTGCCGGCCTGCCAGAGCACTTCGCCCGTGTTTGCGTCGTAGGCCAGCACACCCCGGCTTGCGTCGTCGCCCTTCTGCGCCCCGCAGTTCACCACCACCATCCCGTCAAACACCAGTGGCGAGCCGCTCATTCCCCACTGCACGTTCTTCACGCCACTGCGTTCCAGCACATGGTCGGCCCAAATCTTTTCGCCGGTCACCGCATCGAGGCAGGTCAGGTGCCCACTCGCCCCCAAGGCATACACCTTCCCCTCCCACACGGTCGGCGTCGTACGAGGGCCCTCCCCGCCCACGGCTTCACTGAAGTGCTCAGGGTAAGTGTACGTCCAACGCTCGATTCCCGTATCGCGGTCGTAACAAACAATCGCTTCATCATCCCGCCGCTGCTCGATGGTGATTAACGCATTGCCCGCCACCACGAACGCGCCGTATCCGCCGCCAATGGGATGTTCCCACACTAGCGTCGGGGCGGTGGTCGACCAATCGTCGGCCAGCTCCGGTCCCGGCACCACGCCATCTCGCGCCGGTCCACGGTACTCCATCCAGTTCATCCCGGCGTCAGCCAGATCGATCGGCGGTAACCCTTCGGCCTTCTTCTTTAGTGCCGCCTGCTGCGCTTCGGCCTCCGCCCCCAGCGGTTTCTCCCATCGCCAAATAATCTCAGGTGTCATGTCGCCGGCGAAGTTCACACGCCGAATGGTGGCAAACACCGCGACCACGGCAGCCACCACCAGCAGAAACGTCGCCAACCGTTGTTGCCAGGCCGCCCCCGAGGCCAGCCAGAACCACACGGCAATCATCAGAAAGCAGGCCACTGCCGCGATCACCGAATAGATACGGCGGTCGCCCGTCGGCAGCCGGTCACCCGGATAAGCCCACACGCCACCCAGCACCACGACGAACAGCACCCCCACAATAATCGGAAACCAATACCGGCTTTTCAATCGTGAGGCACCCATGATCATCCCTCTCGCTTGCAGGCTGTAGATAGAATCAACACCAGCGCGGCAAGTTTTCACCACCGCCAACCAGTTGTGATCACCCAAAAATGAAGAGACGCCCGCATCGTATCGCGTGGCCCGTTGAATTTCCACGCGACCGAATGTCGCAACGGGAACACGAGTAGATCATTCACCGTTCAGCGAAGTCAGCGGACCAATCGCGGTGGTGGTGTTGAGCGACAAGGGATACTTCTCCAGCACACGCCGCATGTCTTCGACGGTGACCGCCGCCACCGAATCGAGATCGTCCCTCACCGAGCGGTACTCGCGGCGTTGGGTCCAATTTCCCCCCACGCTGAACAGCCGCCCACGCGGCTTTTCGCCCGAGAGCACCACCCGCGACTGCACCTTTTGTTTCGCCTGCTGCAACTCGGTTTCGAGAACACCCTTGCTCTCCACGTCGGCGAAGATCCGTTCAACCCGAGCCACATTGTCGGCCGCCTGCTCCGGCGCACAACTCAGGTACACCATGAACAGCCCGCTGCCCTGGTAGTCGTAATGTCCCATGCTGGCATGTTCGGCCAACCCGGAGTCAATCAACTCCCAATACAGCCGACTACCGCTGTCGTCGCCCAGCACGGTGGCCAAAATCTTCGCCGCAAACCGATCTTCATCTTCGGCCGCTGGAGCGAGTGCCAACTGGATGACATACTCCTGCACGGCCCCTTCTTTGTGGATGCAGTCGACCGCATTCGTCCCCTTGGCCGGTTCGATCTTCCGCTTCGACTGGCTCGGCTTCCACCCGCCGCAGGCCTCTTCAGCCGTGGCCACCAGGTCGTCGAAGTCGATATTACCCGTGCCCACGATGGAAATATTGTCGGGGCTATAACGCCGTTCGAAGTACGCCCGCATCGCGTCGACACTCAAATCGGTCACGCTCTGCTCAGTCCCCAGAACGCTGTTGCCCAAAGCATGATCACCAAAGAACACCGCCTTGCACTTTTCATCCGCGCAAAAGGGTGGCTGGTCCTCATACATATGAATTTCTTCGACAATCACCTTCTTCTCGGTGTTGAAGTCGTCCTCCCGCAGCGAAGGCCGCAGGATGTCGGCCAACAATTCGGTCGCGCGCCGCTGATACTCCGGCAGCACCGCCGCGTAATACACCGTGCTCTCTTCACTGGTGAAGGCGTTGTAATGTGCCCCCATTTCGTCGAACTCGCGATTCACATCGTCGGCCGTGCGAGTCGGCGTGCCCTTGAAAACCATGTGTTCGAGGAAGTGACTCACGCCGGCTTCCGGCGCGGTCTCGTCACGCGATCCGGTCTCGACAAAGAACCCCACCGAAGTCGAATACGCCTGCGGGTTCACCTCGGCTACAATGCTCAGTCCATTGGGCAGTTTATGCTCACGAAACTCCAACAGGCACCTCCAGTGGCTGCGGCCCCAGCGTAACGACCGTAAAGTCTCGCGGCGGATTCGCCTCGAGGTATGCGTTGATCGTCTCCAACGACAACTCGTCGATCAACTTGCCCACTTCTTCCAAGGTTCGTGTACGGCCCAACAAGTACCAGTCCCGCGCGATCGATGAACTTCGGGCCGAACTCGACTCCTGCTGCATCACCAACGCACTCTTAATGCGGGCCTTCAACCGATCAATCTCGTGCTGCTCAATCCCTTCGGCCAACCTGATGAGTTCTCCCACCAGCACGTCCAGCGTCTCTTGGGCCCGGTCGGAACTCGTCCCGGCGTAGCACATCACGCTTCCTCGCGTGCGAAGTGTGTTGTACGAAGCTGAAACGCTGTAACACAGCCCCCGCTTCTCACGCACTTCGGTGAACAACCGCGAACTCATCCCACCGCTCAGTGCCCCCACTGCGCCCCAGGCCGTGAAGTAGTCGGGATGCGAATACGGCACGCTATCGTACGAAACGCCAATCTGCGTCTGGCTCGTGTCGCTCTGCAAGTGATCGATCTTCGGGCCGCGCTCACCCTCGCCAGGCGTTTCCAAATCGGCCACATTCCAATCGCCGAACAACTTCTCGACTGTATCGCATAAAGCGTTCCACTCGAACTTACCAGCCACGGCCAGAATGGTGCCGCGTGGTCGGTACACGCGTTGATGTTGCCCGCGAATCTCGTCGATGGTGATCGTCTGCAAGGCTTCCAGTTCGCCCTGCGAAGGTCGCCCCCAAGGATGCGGATAGTGCCGGCGACGCAGCTCGAGCATCACCTTGTGAGCCGGGTCATCATCAATCGAACTCAGCTCTTGCAGCACAACCTGGCGGCCGGCCTCGATCTGATCGGCCGGAAGATGCGGTCTCCGCACCACGTCGGCATAGATGCCAATCGCCTCGGGCAATTGAGCCGCGAGGGTGGCCCCGCTGTAACTGGTGAACGCGGCGGTCACGTTCTCCGAGCGATCGACCCCCAGGTTGTCCATGTCGGTAATGAACTGCCGGCTGTCGCGCGAACCCGCTCCACGCAGGGCCATTTCGCAAGTGAATCCGCTCAGCCCCGCCCGATCGTTCGGATCATAAACCGAACCGGCAGGCACCAGCAGCGAGAATGCGGCCGATTCGAGCCACGGCATCGGTTCGGCAACTAACACCAGACCATTGTCCAGCGTTTTCGAGTGAATGCTTTGGCTCATCGACGATTCCTGCTCGACCTCGTGTCGATCCGGGAGCGGCCCCACCGGCTTCCCCCACCGCCCCTGAATATGCGGCCTAACCCCCACCCATACAAGGGCGCAAAACTTCCCTGTAACAGAAACCCGCTATTCCAATCGGGTACCACCGGATCTCGATCCGGTGCGGCGCAGCCGCCAGAGGCCCTCAAAAGAATTCCACCCTTCCAGCGACACCACCTCAAGAAGCAAAGCCACGCGACGGTTCAAGCTGGCTGCCTCATTGCCCCCACATCACCCCAGCCGCTTCAACTTCGACACCCGCCCCGTAGCCACCCACTCGGCCACAAAGATATTCCCTTCGTTATCAAAGCAGGCATCGTGCGGATGCACGAACTTCCCATCGACCCACTGCGACTCGTCGTTGCGAATGCCCTTTTCAGTAGTAATGCGTTCCACGTCGGCACCCAAGCGTGCCAGCACTTCGTTCTTCTCATCGAGAATGGTCACCCGGGCATGCAGCTCAGGCACCAGCATCAGGTTTTCATAGGTGTCGATGTTCGCCGGTAGCCCGTAGCCTTCCAGCGTCTCGATGTACTCGCCGTCGAGCGTCAGGTACTGCAACGTGTGATGGGCTCGGTCGCAAATCGCAACTGCCGGTTCCCTCCCCGGGCGGCTGTCGATCCAAATCCCATGCGGCGTAGCAAACGTCCCTTTCCCGTCGCCGGGCCCGCCGAACTTGCTCTTCCAGTTCCCGTCTTTGTCGTAGCGGTGGATGTAGAAAGAACCGTATCCGTCGGCCAGGAAGAAATCGCCATCGGGCAGAAACGCGAAGTTCGTCGGCAGGAACCGATCCTGGCCCCACACCTTCTGCGGATTGGTGTTCTCGCCTTCGGCATACACGCCCGACTCCATGGGCGCATGCTTGTGCCACACAATCTCTCCCCGCAGGTCGAGCTTCGAGATGGCCTTCACCTGCTGATACGCGCAGACGTAAAGAAACTCCTCGCCGTCCTCTTCACGAACTTCGATACCGTGCCCGCCGCCCTGATACTGATTCCCGAACGAGCGGATGTACTTCCCCTCGGGATCGAACACGAAGATCGACGGGTGGTCCGGCTGATCGGCCCGTCCTTCATGAATCACATACACCAGGCCATTTTTGTCCACGGCCACATTGTGCGTCGTCTGCCAGGTGAACTTGTCAGGCAACTGCGGCCAGTCGTGAACGACTTCATACTTATAGTCGCCCTCACCCAGGATGACCTGCGAGTCGGTCTTGCTGGCCGTAACCACCGCCGGCACTCCCAACGTCGCCGCCGTGGCCACGGCCGTCGTCTGCAAGAAATCCCGACGCGAAACCTTAGAAACCGAATTCGTTTTCATACATCCACCCAACTAGTAGACGAGACAAAATACCAATGGCCGCAAGCCATGCCCTCGCATTGTATTCAAGGGACCGCTGTGGAGCGAATAATCGGGGAAATATCTCGGAATGCACTGGGTAAGAGCTAGCTGAGTACGTAGTAAGAGATTCTTCAACCGGTCATGGTAGTTGGGCCTTTGACTAATGAGAACAAGACCTCGCAGGCCACCGGCATCGCTAGAAAGTGCCACCGCCATACCAATTGTGCCGCAATCTGCTAGACCAAGGCCTTGTTGGCGGTCTTGTGGGGTCGTAAGTGATCCCCACAGGATCCGTAATGGCTCGGCCTGTAGTGAAGTAAACCACTCCGTCGTCTTGTTTCATGACACTTCTGACAGGGAATGCACCAATCCAAGTAGGCGTATCACCGATGTCCTCACCGTGGCGCAGCTTCGCAACGGTTCGTTCAAAAGCCGGCTTGCTAACAAGAAACCTAAGATGCATCGGCCAGCCTGTCAGCACTGCCATAAGTACGAGCGCACTTGTGACAGGTAACACGCACCATCGCCATTGGGCTCCCTTGAGCAGTGGTGCCTGTTGCGAATCTTCGGAGTTGTGCAGGGAGTTGAGGAACCGAATAAAGAGGTACTCAACAATTGGAATCAACGCCAGAACAAGGGCCAGCAGCACAAGTGGGTTGAGAAGATCGAGCAGGAAATGAAGACTTATGTCATGCAGTATCCATCCGGCTGTCACAACAGTGAGAACGATACTTAGCAGAGATGGCTCGTACTGATATTTCATGCTCCAGTCCTTGTAGTAACAGGGGTGGAGGACACCACACCGCAGGCCTGATTGCGAATTCACGCCGAAAGTTTAATCGGTCCCACTTTCCCCCGCGATCGCTTCATAGGTCTCAATCGCCCGATCGTACGACGCCCTGGCCGCGGGGCGTTCATGTTCGGCGATGCGGTCATTACGCCGCTCCCACAGCAGCCGCACAACCTCAGCGCACCAAAGCGCACTAGCGCGGGACGCCCTAATCGGCTGCACATCTACAATCACATTCACCGGGTTCGTATGAAGCTGTGGGAACTGTCTTAAGGCGATCCAACTGCTTTTATCGACGGGCACTTCAAGATCAATGGTGTGCTGTCTTCCGTCGGCCGGGATCTCTTTCGAATCAACGACTTGTCCGTTCATGATGATCTCCACAAGTCGAGTACCGCCTTCGATTCGCCGCCCCGATCGCGGGGCATGCAGGTTCCGCGTATCGCCAACCAGTCGCGAGCCGGCCAACGGTTGCTGGTTCCCGTAAGCCACCCCCTCAGGCGTCTCCGGGGCGAACGCAACTTCGGCTTGCACTCTAACTTTGTTGGGAGCTGAAAGCTGCACATCCCTCGTGCCGGGCATGACATCGTTCACCGAGAACTCAACCGCGTGGGCAAACCCATCGCTGACATAACTCCGTCCCTCGGCCAGCCCCTCACACCACGGGGCAAACTCCAGGCGGTCAACCTCTCCCAACTGCACATACACCCGTCCCTGCCCCACCCGGCGGCTGCTCATGCAAGGGAAGTCCGTCTCGCCACTCAGCTTCAAGGGAAAGCCGCAGTTCAGGAGGTGATACCAAATGTTCCACTCCGAAGTGCGCGGCGTGTTCATCGCACTAATGAAATCGCACACCCCTTCGGCCGTGCTCACACAAATCTCCAGCGCCCCGCTACCACCCATGTCGGGCAAGGCCACGTTCGGCAAGCGGTCCGTCGCCCGATCGGTACTGACAGTCAACTCCTCAACACTCAGCCGCCCGTTCCTGTCTTCATCAATAACTTCAAACGTCTCAGGCAGTAGCTCATGATCCGCCTCTGCGGCGTTCAGCACCCCATCCTCATCCAAATCGAGCTTCTCGATTAAATGCCGAGCCGCAATCGGTGGGTCGTAGTCGAACGCCGAGTGCGGATAGCCCGTGTAGCCCCCCTGCTCCTTCGTCCACCGCAACACGGGAACCGTCCAAGTCGGCCAGCCCTTCTCCTTGGTCTCTTCCGACCCGGGATACGTCTGATCAGCCAAGTTCAACAGGCACACATGCCCCAGTGCCTGCGAACCAAATCCGCTAATCTCCAGGTCATACTTCAACAACGTCCGCGGCTCGCTGATCGAAGCCGCCTTCGGGGCGAAGAACTGCCGCTGATAGTCGTAGCACGGCCCCCACGTCAGCACGCAGCCAACATTCAGGCCCTCGCCCTGCACCTGCACGAACATATCTTCCGGCTGCACGCCCTGCGTGGGGTTGTCGTAATGCGAGCAGCCAGCCGCGTGAATGTGATGATCGCCGCAAAAAAAACCGAAATCTTCCGGGTCGATCCACCTCCGCAATCGCAGGTCCAGTTTCCCGGCCTCATCGCTCGAGACGACGAGCGTCTTCGTATCGACGTGATACTCCGGGCCCCGCGAGTATTCGACCGTGAACTTCCCCGGCGGCAGCAACACGGCCTGCCCATCGCGACGGTAAATCTGCGGTTGAAAAAAGAAATCGGGCGCCAGCCGCTTCGCTTGCGGCGGATAAACGTGCCCCTGCCCATCGCGAATCACCAGTCGGGCCGCTGTCGGGCTACCATCATCATCCAAGATCGACAGCCTCACCGGAATCGCGGGTGCCACGTCGAACAAAATCGGCACCTCGCCACGAAAACCAATGTCTTGATTACCAGCGCCGATATCGAAGCCGATAGTCGCTTCCCGCTTACCACGCTCGCTCGAATAGATCAGCGCAATCGCGTATTCAACCTCCAGCCCGCTCAGGTTCCGCGTCATCGGCGGGCTCTGGAACATCTCCACCTGCAAGAACCGGTCGCGATCGCCACTTAGGTTCTCATCCTCATTCAGTTCTGTTTGAGCCTGCCGCTCCAGAATTCCTAACGATGCACCCGAATAAACCGGCCCCGACTGAGGGCTCACGATCCGCATCCGATTACTCACCGTACCCTGGTTCAGCACCTTCACCACACACGGCGTAAATCCACCCTGCTGCAAACCAGCCTTCGCCGCCCCCCTCTGAACCTTCACCCGCAGTTCAGGGTTGATCGAAACAACAAACAAGACGTGCGGGTCCAACGCTTCCTGCAAAGCCGCAGCATCCCGTGTGTCGGCGGCCTCCCAAAGTTTCTCCGTCACCTCTTCCGGAAGCGGCGCTCCCAGGTACTCAAGGGCCTCAACCAACCGCTTCACATTGGCCCCCAGCGGCTGTCCCTCCACGGCCAGATCAGGGACGTCGTCAGCCTTGCCTGTGACCGCGAAGGCGAGGGCAATTGACATCAAGGCGATTGAACGCCTTAAGGGCAATATGAAACGCGTGTGCATGAGACTCCCCGTTGAAGTGGGTGACCCTTCGTATTTCTGACGAGTCTTCGAGTATACCGTGCCGAGACGGGCAGCGTTTCACAGTCATTCCTTAGCTTTGCTGGATCGCAGGATAACTGTCGAGGCTCTCGAACAAGTCGTTTAAACAGCATGACGTACGAGATTTGGCCTTCAACTGAGAGCTCTGACTGCACAAATCGTGGCCTAAACTTTCAGGGGCACACGTCGCATATCAACTACAAGCTCATTCGCATTCGAAAACGAGAACCGATAGGCCTAAGCCGCCTTTAAACAAGTGAGAGGCTGACATGCTGGAAGCGAACAGACGAAACTTTATCGCAGGCTTGGGGAGTGCCGCTCTGGCAGCCACGGCGTGGGGCAATACTCGGGCAGACTCAACTGCTGTACTGCCTAAGGTGATCTTCTTTGACGTGAACGAGACTCTGCTCGATCTGAAGCCACTCGAGGAGAGCGTGGGCCAAGCACTGGGTGGTCGCCCCGACTTGGTGCAGCACTGGTTCACCACCATGCTTCAGTATTCGCTAGTGCATACAGTTTCCGATCAGTATCGCGACTTCGGTGAAATCGGGGGGGCATGCTTGGCGATGATCGCCAAGAATCACGGATTTGAGTTGGGCCCAGAAGTCGCCATGAATGCTGTCGCTCCTATCCGTTTCCTGCCGGCCCATAGCGACGTTCCGCCCGCCCTGAAACGCTTGCGGGAAGATGGGTACCGACTAATTACACTTACCAACTCATCGAGTACGGTCGCAAAAGACCAACTTCAGAACGCTGGATTGGACGAATTGTTCGCTGCGAGATTCAGTGTTGAGGATCTGGGCCTGTTCAAGCCACACGCTCATGTCTACCGCTGGGCAGCGCGTCGGGCAGGTGTCAAACCGTCGGATTGCATGTTGGTTGCTGCCCACGGCTGGGACGTTGCGGGCGCCTCATGGGCCGGCATGAAGACGGCATTCGTGGCCCGCCCCGAGCAGCAGGTATATCCGCTTGGCCCGACGCCCGATTTCATCGTCCCTTCCCTCAAAGAACTGCCGGACGAAATGGCGAATCGAATCTGAGCTCTGCGGAAAAAGGGCGAGTGCCACACCTTGCACCAAAGGTGTAGCTACGTCGTACAAACGTCCCGCCGCTGAAACACCAAGCCCGCCGCCACCCATAGCACCACGGCCGCAGCTAACAGCACAGCCATGTCCCTCAGCGGCCAGGTCACATCTCGCAGCACGACCAGCGGCGTGTAGTAGTGCATGGGTCCCCACGGTGCGAATCGCTCGGCCGGCTCCCAGATCTGTGCGAGGTAGTTCAACAGAAACGACCCCAGCAGAATGACGAACACCACCGTCATGGCCACGCCTCGGCGGTTGGAAAGCATGGCCATCAGCCAGGTCAGGCCACATACGGCGAGATAGAGGCAGTACAGATTGCACACAATCATCACGCGTGGCCTCAGCCCAATGTCCACGTCGGGATCGGCGCTGCTCCCCAACATGTTGCCCGCTACCATGGCCGCCATCACCACCAAGCCGCTGAACAGTGTGACCACCGTCTCCGATGCAAATAATTCCCATCGACTGATCGGCCAGCCCAGCAGCACGTCGATTGTCCCTCGATCAATCTCCCCGGCCGGCACCCGCGTGCAAACCACCACCGCGTGTGCCCAGACCAGGGCCAGAATCACCGGATGCACCCAGGCCAACGCCAGAAACGTGGTAGGCGACAGCTGATCAGTAAGCTTCGCCCCCAGCATGGCACTGATGAACTGTCGCAGGAACTCAATCTGCATCAGCGAATCAGATAGCTGCGTGTGATAAACCGGCAGTACATACGACACGAGCGCTTCGAAGCAGAACAACACCAGACCCAGCAGCACGGTCGTGGGCCAGATCTCGCGAAACGCTTTGCGTACCAAGCCGCGGTTGATCATGTTTCGCCCCGATCATCGTAGTAGCTGCGAAAAAGCGTCTCCAGATCGGGGGCCTCGACGATCAAGTCTTCGAGTTCATAGGCGGCCAGAAAGGCAACAAGTTCGTCCACACTGCCATGCAAGCTTCCGCTCCAGGTCGTGCCGTCCTGACGAAGGTTCCCAAGAAACGGGGGAGCCTGTTCCGGAATGGAATGAGCCCGAAATCGAATCGTTGCCTGTCGCCGCACCTTGTTTCGCAACGAAGCCAGCGATTCGTTGGCCACGATCTTTCCCTGCCGAATGATTGCCACCTCATCGCAGAGCTGTTCCACCTCGCTCAGTGTGTGGCTCGAGAAGAACAGCGTATGGCCTTTCGATGCGAGTTCCCGTAAGTGCGCTTGCAGCGTGGCCTGCATCAAGGGATCGAGCGCCATCGTTGGCTCGTCCAGCACCAACAGTTGCGGACGATGGGCAAGCGCCAGAATGATCCCCAGTTTCTGCCGCATCCCTCGCGACATGTGGCGAACCTTGACCTTCAGATCAAGGTCGAACAATTCCGCAAGATCGCGAGCACTCGCCAGCAGCGTCTTTCGCCGCACCCGTTCGACAATCCGCACGGCCTCCAGTCCGCTCAACCAGGGATATAGCCGTAAATCACCCGGCAGATAGCCCACTTCGGCCTTGATCGCACGAGAATCGCCCCAGCAATCCCGTCCAAAAATTCGGGCAACCCCCGAGCTTGGCGGCAAGAACCCCAACAGCACTCGAATGGCCGTCGTCTTCCCCGCCCCATTCGGTCCCAAGAACCCAAACCGCGCCCCCTCCGTTACCGAAAGATGCACATCCTCAATCCCCCGGCTCGTCCCATACCGCCGCGTCAGTGATTCCGTTTCAATGATTGGCATGGGCGTAGGGCTTCATTCAATGACAACAGACTGATCAGTCGTCGTAAGCGAAGGCTTGGGGATCAAATCCATCTAGTGTTACGTGCCACAATCGATCGTCATCCCCTGGCGAGTTGAAATAAATCAAACAGATTTCAGGGCGATCCTTCCAAATAAAGTTGAGCGATTCCACCTCAAGTTTTCGAGGGTCGGGCAAATTCGGTTCATCGGCCCAATTGCCAAACTCAGCACGAATGTACTCGTGGATCTTGGGAAGTTGGTTTTCCCACGCCTCGATCCACGCTTTGGCGCTATGCACCAATGTACCGGAAGGAGGTTCACCGTCAGAGCCAAACACGATTTCAGCCTCGATCCTGCCAAGCAGAATTCGCTTCTTCCAGCCCAGCCTTTGCTCGAACGCGAACTCACCTAGTTCCGCATCAACGAATGTGACATTCGGCGGCTCATCTCTTCGGAATAGCTTCTTGAAGATCGAATACAAGGCTCGGCTTAAACTCCAAGGAGATCATGCTGCTTAGATTTAGCGTGCATGAAACAGGCACCCGTCAGTCGCGAGATCACTTTTCGAAAATTCACCTTCAATGCCGACAGGCTTTCTTGCAGATCAGCCTGGCTCAGCCTATCCACTCGCCATTATCCGCCACAGAGCCACCTGTCCCGCGGCCATCCACACGATCAAGCAACTCACCACCACTGCGGCCAGGTGAATTCGAGTAGTCACCCGCTGCTTGAACAACGCAACCCGTTCTTGCGTTTCCGCTAACCTGCCCTGCACAGCGACAATCCGCTCGTCGACGCTTCCCAACATCGCTAGCAATCTAGCTGCCAGTTCAAGCACCTGCTGTACCCGGTTCGCAGCCGCGGCGTCTGCATCTTCACCGCTGACTCTCTCCCCCAGCGACTCGACAGTCTCACGTGCAGAAGCAACCTCTTCGCTTAACCGCGTTACGCCTTCGAGCACCGGCTGAACCGTCTCGGCAGAAACCGGCAGCCCCAAGCTTTCGAATAACCCGAGCGTTTCCTGGACATGCACCACAACCTCCGCAGAAGCTTCAAGCATCGTGCCAGCCTGCTCCAGGCTCCCGTCCAGTCGTTCAATCCGCTCCTCCGGCCGCAATAGCGAGTCCAGGTTCTCCCGCACCCGCTCAGTGCCCGCATTCCGCAAGCTCTCCCGCAACTCCTCCGCCGACAGTGCAGCCCCGGCCACCCGTTCCTGCACATCCCCCAGCCGTTCGCCCGCAACATCAAACGAGTGATCCACCCGCTCGTAAACCCGGTCCGTCGCTCGATCGATCCGCATCACGACGTACCAGACAGCAACCACACATAACAAGCCAATCACCGCCCCCAGCAGGCCTAGCAAGGAAACTATGCGTTTCACAAGCTTACTCATATCAAGCTCCTATCAAGGAGTTGCGATTGCCGGAAGAAGCAAAATTGTGCCAGCCAGCAACCCCATGGCCAGCAGCGTCGCATGGATGAGAATCGGCGGCCGCTCGGCCTTACCTGTGATGCACCCAAAGATAAGAATGAGGCCAAACAAAGCCAAGAAAAGAGCGCTCGAAGTGGCGATGTTTTGGGCACGTTCCAGCACCAGTTCATAGCCTCGAGTCACCTCTCCAGGAAGATAACCCCCGGCAAAGACCCCACCGAAAAGAACATCATCACTACAACCACGGCCCGATAAGCCTGACAGTATTGCTGTGGCGAATGTTCAGGCATGGCATTCTCTGGTCGATCCAATCGCTCAATGTCGACAAACCTGCTTCACACCCCGCCACCCACGGCCGTGATGAGCGCCCTCGAATCGCTCACGAATCCGAAACAAACTTTGACATTCAATAGCGTGGCCTCGGTGCAGTACTCAGGCGTGAACGTGGCGCAGCAATCGGCAAGCAGCACGCAGCCATAACCGAGAAAGCTTGCATCTTGCAATGTGCTAGCCACGCATTGGTCGGTGCAAACCCCGGCGAAGAAAATCGTTCGCGTGCCGAGGTTGCGGAGGATCGCGTCCAACTCGGTGCCCCAGAAACCGCTGATGCGATACTTGTCGACGCAAATATCCTCAGGCATCTGCTCCAACTCGTCGACCACGGCCGCCGACGGTGAGTCTTTCTCGAGCACATGCCCGCCGCCCGGCAACGTGTCACCAAGACCAATCTCGCGCCCGGTACGCTGGAAAATATGCAATTGATTCGGCGGCAGGTTCAACTGGTCGGGCCGGTTTCCCCAGTCGAGCCAAATCACAGGAACACCAGCCGCACGAACAACCGGCAACAGCTTTCTTAACGGCTCGATCGGCGCGCGACCTGGACCTACGTCCATCCCATTCGCATCGGCCCAACCGCCCGGGGCACAGAAGTCCTTCTGCATATCCACCACAACCAGCGCCGCCCGCGCCAGGTCAAACGTCACCGACTGCGGTTCTGCCTGCAACTCCACAGGCCGAATTGCACCACCCCCGGCCGTCATATCCACGTGGGTGTCGCTCACCGCCCACTTCTCGGCCCCCACGCCCAACGTTTGCCGGTCGTCCAACTCATTCTTCGCACCATTCGACGACATCCGACCAAACTCCACGCCGTGTTGCACGATCCGCATCAGCCAGTTGCAATCACTCTACTGATGCATATTGCCAATCGCAACCGAGCCAATTCGTTTGGTCACACGTCGCTGAAAAGCAACGGGTCCCACCGGATCTCAATCTTCCAGCGGCGCGGCGGCCAAAGACTCTGCGCGAAGTCGCACTCAACCAGCGCGATTTCAACCGAAGTAACTCACCGCAGCGCAAGGCAGTTCAGAGAAGCCCCGACCCAATCTCCGCCCCCTGCCGGGTTCGGTCGATTGAAGATCCTCAACCTTCAGGGAGAAGCTTGTCAGGAAACGTCTTGAAGAAATCCGGCAGTTTCTGGTTCGGAAACAAATCTTTAGAGAACTCTGCTTGAAGCGCCTCCGCCAGCTTTTCCAGCTCCGAAGGTTCCAGCGACGACCACTCTTCATCGAGGAGTTCTAACAATGGATCTTCGACATAGGTATCTTCGAGAGCCGTCGTATTGATGAAACCATCAAGACTGTGAGTAACTGGTGGATCATAATTCTGAGGTTTTGTGGGATGCGCCATCCGTGGTCGCGTGATAACGTACGTCCGAAAGCTGATCTCATAGCGGTCGAGATAAAAGCTCTCCGTAAAACTCGCATCGTCGTAATCCCAGTTCCCCACGATCGGATCCCAGCCGGGTCCTCCGTAGTTGAACGGCTCGACGTCGGCCTCGCCGGTGGTGTTCGAGTTCCTCAGAAAGAACGTCGCCGTCTCCGGGTTGTACGCCCCCACGGTCACCCCGCCGTCGTCGTTCCAGTCGCCCGCAATTGGCCGCCAGCCCGGCATGCCGAAATGAAACGGTGCGACCTCAGGCTCGCCGGCGGTGAGTGTGTTTCGCAGATAGAAGATGGCCTTCTCCGGGTTATAAACCCCGATCCCGTCGCGGCCGTCGCCGTCCCAGTCGCCGACTATCGGCAACCACTCGCGACCTCCATAAACAAACTGCCCCGCGTCGGCCGGGCCCGAGGTGTTGGAATTCCGCAAGAAGAAGTTCGACGACGCCGGATCGTAGACCCCGATCGTGTCCACTCCGTCACCATCCCAATCGCCACCAATCGCGACGAAGCCTGGCGCCCCGAACGCAATCACCAGCGGTTCATCGGAATAGAAATAGTTGTGGTTCTGGTTCTTCAGCCGAAACATGAAACTGCCCGGCTCGAAGATACCCACCGAATCGAATCCGTCGCCGTTCCAGTCGCCTACCACCGCCTGCGACTCGGGGGCCCCATATTGATACTGCAGCCAGGGATGCCCCGTGGCGAGTTGGTCGGTCAGATAGACCTCGCCCGCCCCCGGGTTATAAACCCCCACCCCGTCCGCATTCCCCGCCGGAGCTTCCTCATACAGCGATCCAAAGTCCGCCCCCTCCCAGAAACCCAGCCTCGCCAGCATCTGCCGCGGTTCCAGCCCCTCACCCCGCAACCCCACGCACGACAACCCCCGTCGAACCCGACCACCCAAACCCGCCATGCTATCAGCCCCTTGCACAAGCACCCGAGAAAAGGAACACGGCCCAGAGCCCCAGCCCATCAAACCAGCCAAGACCCCCGCCACAGAAGAGGGTGGAGACTATAGGGAAAGCGGTGAGTGGTCACAATGTTGAAACGGGGTGGAGACGTAGAAGGTGATCAAACTCAGAGTGACCTCTTCCATGCCCTTTCGGTGGTTGTTTATCGAGCCTCTAGCTACAATTTTCCGGACATGAACCGTCGAATACTATAGTTCTAGGGAATGTATAAGTGAGCTATACAGCCAAAGTCTTTCGGGTGATGATCGCTTCACCAAGCGATACCCATGAATATCGAAGTGACATCCGCGATACACTGGCTGAATGGAACTCAACTCATTCTGCGGAGCGTGGACAAATACTCATGCCGGTTGGCTGGGAGAGTGACTCGACGCCAGAAATGGGCAGACATCCTCAGGATGCAATCAATGAACAGCTACTGGATCGTTGCGATATTCTGATAGCGGTGTTTTGGGCTCGAATCGGCACGGCCACTGAAAGTGCGGAAAGCGGAACTCTCGAAGAAATACAGAAGGCCGTCGATAAGGGAAAGCCCGCGATGGTTTATTTCTCAAACGAAAATGTCCCCCTGAAGACTATCGATCCGGCACAATTCAGTGCTCTTCAAGCCTGGAAAAAAGAAATCGCAAATAAATGCCTTTTTGGAGAATTCACTACCCGTGAAGAATTTCGGCGGCAGCTATTGCGACATTTATCTGATCTAGCCAAGGCAATTGAAGGTGCCACAAATACATCGTTTGAAGAAAATGCAACGGGCCATTCCTCACCTAATGAAGACCAATTGTCTCAAGAAGCAATTGGGCTACTGGTGGGGGCTGCCAACGGCTATGGCTACATAGACTACGACAAGGGCACCGAGTTATCCACAAGCTCTTTCAAGGCAGGTACGCTTTACGTCAGCCCTAGGGATCCTGCAAAAACCCTTCACCGCTACGATCTGGCACTAAGCGAACTCGTCAGAAAAGGGTATGTCTCATTGAGGCAGGGTTCTAAGCGAATTCATGACATAACGAATAGTGGATACGAACGCGCGGCGCGCCTGGAAGACGAGATGAAGTGAACGCTTCAGCAGGGCCTAATCAAGGCGACAAATACTCCCCTCTGACTGTGATCGCCATTTACCGTGGAGGAATGGACAAGTGGCTTTACTCATCCGCGGAAAGACTAGCTGCCCACTCTGCGAGTTAGTAATTCACGAGTCCGATCCCGTTGTTTGCTTCCCTGCGTTTGTCTCGAATGAATTAGACCCGCTCTACTTGTTCAACGATGCTTCGTTTCATCACGAGTGTTTCGCCAACCACCCACTTGCTGAGGAAGCAGGTTCAAGAAATGAAGCGATCTCGGAACGAACGAGTCCAGAAAATCGAAAATGCACCGCCTGTGGCCAGCTAATCACTGAACCCGACGACTACTTCTGTGTCTACCACCTCACCGATAGTCCGGCCGATGCCTTGTTTCAGTTCAACTATCTGCAGTTACATAGGTCATGCATGGCCGATTGGCCTCTCAAGAATGAACTGGAGAGTCTGCTCAACGAACTCAACTCTTCCGGCCGATGGAAGGGTCCTGCACTCAGCTACCTCCTTCAGCAGTTGCACGCATAGTGAAGTTCACGAATGCCGCGCGGGGTGTCTTGAACCGGGTGCCACCGGATCTCGATCCGGTGCGGCGCAGCCGTCAGAGGCCATTGTGATGAGTCGATGCAACCGCTCGTCGTGACTTCTAGCGAAGAGCACGCATTGGTTTCTTGTTCAAGTCACAGATTGATCAAGTGCCTCTAACGGCTGCGCCGCCCCGATTCAAGAATCGGGACCACCCTTCTATATGCACTCTCCCCCAACCAAGGGTGGCCAAAACTTTCATTGATATTCAACGCACCACTCGGCATTATTGTGCGTGGGTCCTGCGTCTTGCCTGGAGGCGTGGGGTCGAGAGGGTGGGGATCGTGCCTGTGGGTCGACGGACTTGTGGGACGGTTCCCGGTGTGGTGTGTTTGCGGTGGTGAAGTTTTGCGTGATCGGAACTGCGTCCGGAGGCGTCTATGTGCGTTCATACGACCCAAGATGCAGGAAAGACACCCGCGAGATAATCGCAGGTGGATGCTCGAGCCGATGGCCAGGCGATCTGGCAACAGCATCGAACGCGAAACGGCGTGTCACCACCAACAACCCATTTCACACAGCCCCCTCGATCACTCCCAACCACGACCGTGGTTCCGGAACCACATCTTTTCTTGCCAAACGGAGCAGCATACAAAAGAAAACGCGACAACCAACCCGTAGGTCATGCACCCCGTGCATGACAATGTACACCTCAACCATGTGGGTGCCACGGTTGGCTTGTCCAACCGTGATGAATCGCCTTGATGGCTTCGTGCTCATGTAGTCCCACGAAGACAGTGGACCATCCTTCCAATTGTCATGCACGGGGGTGCATGACCTACGGATGGATGCCCTGAATTTATCCGTGAGTGGTGGACTTACTGCCCAATCTCAACTTCCAGCTTCACTCCATCGCGGACGATGGTCAGTGCGAGCTGTTGGTCGAGCGGCAGCAGCGTGAGCACGCGGTGGATGTCGTCGACGTTGGCGATCAGTCGGCCTTGTACGGCGACGATCAGGTCGCCGCGTTCGATGCCGGCCGCATGGGCGGGTCCGTTCGGGGCCAGGTCGGCCACTTCGACGGCGCTGTCGGTCAGCAAGTCGAGGTCGCGCACCACCCGTCGCGGGAGTTGCACAGACACGGCCGCGATGCCGAGCTGCCGGCGGCGCACTTCGCCGTGCGACATCAACTCGCCCACAATCCACTGGGCCGTGTTCGAGGGAACGGCGAACCCAATGCCCTGGGCGAACGCGATGATCGCCGTGTTCACGCCGACGATGTGTCCCTGCGAATCGACCAAAGGCCCGCCCGAGTTGCCGGGGTTAATGGGAGCCGCATGCTGAATCACGCTTTCGATAAGCCGCCCCTCACGACTCCGCATCGCCCGCCCCAACGCGCTGACCACGCCAGTGGAAACCGTCGACTGGAACCCCAACGGGTTCCCCATGGCGATCACCAGTTGCCCGACGCGCAGACCGTCGGAGTCGCCCAACTTGGCGAACGGCAACTCGCGGGCGGAGAGACGAATCAGGGCCAGGTCGGTCGAAGGGTCGTCCCCGATAACCCGGGCTTCGATGCGATCGCCGTCTTCGGTGGTGGCCAGCAGCCGCTGCTTGCCGTCGACCACGTGACTGTTGGTCACCGCATACCCGTCGGGCGTGATCAAAAAGCCCGAGCCGGCACCTTCGCGACCACGCTCGTCGACCACCCGCAGCCCCACCACCGCGGGCGAGACCTGCTCGACCACGTTGACCACCGCGCGGGAGTAGGCGTCGAGCAACTCGGCATCTTCCAGCGAAGCATCCTGCGGCTTCGGTCGCCGGTCCGACGGCTCCGGAGTGTCGTCACCCAAGAAATGAAAACGGTTGGTCGGTTTATCGAATGCGGACATGGGGGATGCCCTCCTCAAAGAATTTCAACCTCGGCGCTTCAAGCGAGGTCAATTCTTCCGAGGCGCAACTCTCAGGCAAATGCCGCGAACGTCGCTGGCCCGAACCTTCACCCAGCACCCAAGTTGCGGCCGACCAACACAGGTGGACACCTGTTCGGTAGGCTTGGAGGAATTCAATCCGTGAATGATGCCAACACTAAGGAATCAACCACCCGTGTTCGGCGGGCTGCCAGCCGACGAGTCTTTCGCGGTGGCCAGAGCTGCATCGATGGCCGAGTGGAGATCGCCTCCAACTTCACTGCGCCAGGCAATGTCGCCATTGGCGTCGATCACCAACAGTGTGGGCAGGTATTGCACCTGAAGCGCTTCGAGGGTGCTCATCGCACCCAGGCCGTTGGGCCAGGTGAGGCCGTGGCTTTCGACGAACTCCCGCGATTCGTTCTCGCTGTCGATCCCTTCCCCGGTGAGACCCAAGAAGACCACGCCCTTAGGGCTGTACTGCTTGTAAGCGGCCACCACTTCCGGGGCTGCACGAGCGCAGGGCCCACACCAATAGGCCCAAGCATCGACCACAACCACCTTGCCTTGCAGTTCCGAGGCACTCGGGCCAGGGCCGTTAAGCCAAGTTTCGGCGACCAGCGGTGACGCCGGCTGTCCCACGTTGCTGGGTTGATTACCACCGGCGGGCCCATCCGCAGAGGGCATATTGCAGCCACTAAACAGAAGGACGGCGGCGAAAGCAAGGCAATGCTTCTTCATGATCGGTTCTCCGTTTGCCGGTGGGGCGACGTTGCTATCGCAATCTTATGCCTTCATGCACGTGGCAATCCAGTCAATCCGGCCCATTCCCCAGGCTTTTGCTGCTGTCACAGCAAGCAGGGGTGCGGGAATCAGAAATTCATGAGAATTAAGCTCAATCCTTACGACGCCACCGGCCGATACCCACAGAGAGTGACGGGGTGGGCGCAGAACCGTCGGGTGATTTGAGCGGCAAAGGGATGCCGTTGACGGCCCGATGAGTCCCTAGACGTAAGGAAACGTTCTAATGGCTCGATGCCACCTGCGAATTTTTCATGCGGACGACGAGTTTGCACCAGCCGCAAAGACGGGCACCAAACCGGCGACCGTAACCCTCGAGATGCGTGAAATCTTGCCTCTGCTGGCCGACGCGGTAAACAACAACCGCACCTGGCTGCAAGACTTCGACAACGACGATATCACGATCTCGGCCGATCTTTACGAAGTCATTCTAGCTTACCAGCATTGCCGCCGCCCGGTGGCGTAGCATCTGGCGCAGCTAGTTCAAACGCAGATGATAGTGGGCAGAGTTTAGGCAACCATTCAACGGTCCGTCAGGGTTTCTTGACGGGCCGTTTTTTCGTTGGGTTGCCTGTTAAAAAGATGGGCGATGCTACTAGGACTCCGCGCCCTCTTGAACCGCGGTCACGGCTTCGGCTCGCGATGGGTGCATCGTCCAGACCTTGTCGAGTCGGGCGGTCTTCATCACTTCGCTGCAGAACGGCGAGAGATTGCACAGGGCCATTCGCCCCTCGCGGTCGCGTAGTTGCTTCCAGGTGCGGAACAGCAGCTCGATGAATCGAGACCCCACGTACTCGGTGCGGTGCATGTCGATCACCACTTTGGGCGGCTCTGCAGCCGCCACTTCGTTCAGCAGCAGATCTTTGAAGCTCTGCATCAACTCCGTGTCCAAGGCGTCGTAGGTCTTATCGAGTTCGACGACCGTCACGTCCTGCTCACGTGAGACTTCAGCCATGCCACGGGTTCCATTCGACAAGGGAAAACAGAGGGCGGCCCCAGGTTAACAGCGAGGCCAGAGTGTGGAAAACACGTTGGTGAGTCTAAAAGAGTGGGGCCAGAGGGGCAAGACGGCCAATTGTCGCATCTCTATTCTGAGTATCGACTTGGCAGGCTTTCGAGCTGAACTTAGCGGTGCAATTCGCCCTCGCCCACACGGTTTGGCCTAATTTCAGCCTGGGACGGAGATTTGATCAGAGCGTATAATAGTAGCATTAGCAATTCTGCTTGTCTGTGGGGCTCTCCACGCGACCTGGATTGGGTCGGGTGTTGGCATTCGCCGAAGAGCCCCTGCAATTTAGTTATACGCAAACCATGGAAAGGGTATCGCGTGAGTGATATTGCACCCTCGGATTCGACCAGCCCAGATGCCGGCGAACCCACAGTGCCGACCGGAGCCGCTCCGGAGATCGTTAAAGACGATCTGATCGAGCAGATCATCGAGTCGGCCGAAAAACTACGTCGCGACAAGACCAGCCGCGGCGATCTGAAGATCCTCAGTCGAGCGATCAAAGAACTTCGCTATGCGTTCAAGGTCTTCTCGCCCTATCGCGAAGGCCGCAAAGTAACGGTCTTTGGCTCAGCCCGCACCGAGCCGTTCGAGCCGGCCTTCGAACAGGCGGTGGCTTTCGGCAAGGCGATGGCCAAGGAACAGTGGCTCGTCGTCACCGGCGCCGCCAGCGGGATCATGGAAGCCGGCCACGTCGGCGCGGGCCGCGAGCAATCGATGGGCCTGAACATCATGTTGCCCTTCGAGCAGGAGTCGAACCCGGTGATCGCCGGCGACTCAAAGCTGGTGCACATGAAGTACTTCTTCACGCGAAAACTGATGTTCGTGAAGGAGTGCAACGCCGTGTGCCTATTGCCTGGCGGGTTTGGCACGCTGGATGAGGGCCTGGAAGTATTAACCCTGCTGCAAACCGGCAAGCGGGATCTGGTGCCGATTGTGTTCCTCGACGCTCCCGGCGGCGATTTCTGGCAGGCTTTCCAAGACTTTGTGGTCGATCGGCTGTTGGGCAATCGGCTGATTTCTGAGGAAGACCTTTCCTTGTATAAGGTCACCGACTCGGTTGAAGATGCCGTCGAAGAGATTCTGACGTTCTACCGCGTGTATCACAGCATGCGATACGTGCGGAACAAGCTGGTGTTTCGGCTGCAAGAACGGCCGTCGGAGGATTTGGTTGACGCCCTGAACACCTACTACCGCGATGTGCTGGTCGACGGCAACTTTGTCGTTAGCCCGGCACTTTCGGAGGAGAAGGACGAACCGAAACTGTCGCAGATGCCGCGGTTGGTCTTCAAGTTCAACCGTCGCAACTTGGGTCGGCTTCGTGAGGTGATCGACTGCCTGAACCGTGGGCATCTCTTGCCCGAGCAGATGCAGCACCACTACCCCAAGGCGACCGACCGAAATCCGCGGAACTGAGTAGGGGCATTGGCGGAAACCGGCGATCGCCTCAGGGCATGTGGACGCTACACACTGCTGCTCGCCTTACCAGACGAATTGCAGCAGACGGTATGGGGTACTTTGCATGTATTGGCGGTAGTCGTCACCGCGGGCGGCCAACATCTGGCGTTCTTCAATCGGAATGAAACCGATGAAAGTGATGCCCAGCAGGCCGACCCAGAACAGTTGGCCCATCTGTGGGTGAATCAGCAGCGAGCACAGCCCACCGATCACGGCCGCCCGATACATGGGGTGCCGCACCTGGCTGTAAGCCCCCTCGGTGAACAGCGGTGTGCTGGGTCCATGCGAGTGCGATATCGACGCCCCTGGTGAGCCCAAAAGTTGGTCGAGCATGGCCCGCGTTGTGCCTTCGAAGAATAGGTACGACGCAAACAGCAGCCCGATTTGTCCGAAGAACTGCACCGCTCCGGCGAGTGCCTCGGGCATCACAATCATGGGTCCCGGCATTGGTTTGTGCAGTGCGTACACGGTGAGCCAACTGACGATGGTCACAAAGATGTAGAACCGCCGCTCGCGTGGCGAACCTCCCGGATTGCCCCACACAGCCTGCTTGAACCACGAACGAGTCATCACCAGGTGGGGCAATGTGAACGCCGCGAACAGCATCAGATTGAAGGCATAGTTCGACATGGGAGCCGCTGCGTCGTGGCGAAAGCCATGCAGCAACGTTCCAAATACGGTCATCAGCCCCAAGTAGCCAAAGGCACGATAGCCAATGGCATAGAGCCGGGAAGTCTTTGCTTGCGATGGGTTGGAATCGGTCTCAGTCATCGGTTTCCTCTGGTTCCTCACGCTTGCTTGATCTGAAATGCCCTGCACGGTGGCCCAGGCGGCCAGCGTGGTTCGAAATGCCTGCTCGCTGCGATTGAGAGGCTATAATCGGCCCAGCGCAGATATCTGCGAGCTGTTACAAAGTTTTTTCCCCAGCCCTGAATTTCGGTGAAACGTGAGAGATGCTTGCAAAAGAATGGCCCTGCGAACCTGCTTGCTGGTGGCCGTCTGTTTGATGATCCCAGCTTTCATCGTGGCCGAAGAGAAAGGCCCCGACTGGGTGTTGGTCACTCCCGGGACCCCGTGGCAGGCTCGCGACTCTCAGGGCGAAGTGGCATATCGCGATCGGCTGTGGATTTTCGGCGGGTGGTTCAATTCTTATGAGGCCCCTCCCCGCGATGTGTGGAGTTCGGCCGACGGGAAAACCTGGCAGCAGGTCACGGCCAAGGCTCCCTGGATTCACAGCGATCTGTCGATGTCGATCGTGTTCAACGACCAGATGTGGTTCATGGGCGGCTGGTACAACGGGCGTCTGGAAGGCCACTCGGCTGGCAACCAGGTCTGGTCGTCGACGAATGGTGCCGACTGGAAGGAGGTCACCGCGGCCGCAGGTTGGACTCCCCGGCTGGCCGCGGCCACGGTGGTGTTCAAGGACCGCATGTGGATCTTGGGCGGCACTGAGAACTACTATTTCGGCGACGAATCGAGCCTGAGGAACGACGTCTGGTCAACCGCCGACGGCGAGCACTGGGAACAAGTCACCGCGGAGGCCGAATGGTCTCCCCGGGCGTACCATCAGGCGCTGGTCTTGAATGACAAGATTTATGTCTTCGGCGGGGGCAACTACGTTCCGGAGTACGAAGCTAAGAACGATGTGTGGTTTTCCGAAGATGGCAAGCACTGGGACCAGCTCACCGAGGCCGCTCCCTGGTCGCCGCGGCTCTGG